TCGTTTTCTTGCACTTCATTAAATTTCTTGCCATTTTTCATCGGTGTGGACATCGGTTTGCACGATTAATACACCAAATCTTGTCAATGTCTTTTCCATATAATTTCGTTGATTTATTGTTATTGTCTTCGCCTGGCGATCCGATTGATCAGCATTCCCACAAGTGAACTTCTCACGATCATCCATCCTGATTTTGGCATAGTGCTTGTTTTTCTGCATTAACATCTCGACATCATTGGATTGCACTGCGTATATCGTCGACATAACTCCTAGAATCACAAAACTAATGTGCCCATTGTCCTTCTTTACTGATTTAACATATATACATCCGTCTGCATCATTCTTTCGATAGCCAGATAGATATTAGAAGCGTATCATACCAGCATCGAGCCGATTGCTTGAGCCATAAATGCTTTATTTAATCTGCATACGTGATTGGGTTTCCGTGAATCAACGAAGTTCATCTGGTTTGAGAACTATAAATTTCGTAATCTATATTGCCGTTTAGAAATGCTGTTTTGAAATCCATCTGGTGGATTTCAAGATTCTGAGCATTTCCCATAGATAACAGAGATTTGATAGACGTGTATTTGGCCACAGGAGAAAATACTTCTTCGTAATCTGTTCCTTTCGATTGTGAGTATCCTTGCGCAACCAGTCTGGCTTTACATCTGTCAACGGATCCATTTTCATTCCCCTTTACCTTGAAAACCCATTTGGAACCGATGATGTTGTTCTCTTTCGATGGTGCAACCAATTCCCAAGTGTTATTTTCCAAAGAGATGAGTATTCTTCTGTCATGGCATTCTTCCATATTCTGCATGCTTTCATTCAGTGCTTCATTGCCTTTGGGATTATCTATGTCTGAAATCAGCATTCAGCAACTTGATATGCGTCTTCAGAATCAATGAGGATTTCTTTTCTCTTGTTTGTCCTAAATTCCTTACATCTTCCATAAATGAATCTTGGTATGTCTTACGAATTATTGGTTCTACATGTTCTCCCACTTGCTCAGTATCTTCCCTGCTTAAGCATTGATCATCATTTATAGTCATCCTTTATTGAAACTGTATCTTGCTCTTCTGGATCATTTTGTATCAGCATTTTCGTTGGTTCCTTCATTCTGTTTTCTTCTGATGTTAATCTTCTTTGTCCATATGAACGACGGTATCGCTTAACATATCGACATTCCTCTGATGTGATTGTTCAGCAAAGAAATTGTTTTCAAGAATACTACGTCTCTAGATTGTAAAAAGGTTTCGGTTTAAGTCAAATACCTTGTATCCTTTAGTGCCGAGAGGATATCCGACAAATATTGCTTCGTTTGATTTTTGATCAAGAAGCTTCTGGCGATTACAGCAGGACGTGTACAAAACATTTGCATAAACACCTTTAGGTTTTGAAGGATCAGGCTTCTCTAAAATAAGCATTCAAATTGTGAACATTTCTTTAATATGGCTGTGGCACTTCGATTATGAAGATAAATGGCGGTATTACAAGCTTCGCCCAAAAAGTTCAATGGCAATGCATCAGTGTATATCATTGACCAAACAGATTCCAACGCGTTGTACGGTTGAGACAGCTCCCTCCGTTCTGTTCTGGGCAATATGGGCTTGTGAATTCTTGATTATTCATTCGTTAGCGCAATAATGTAAAATCGTTTGATGTGTATTCCCCACCATTGTCACTCCTTAAGATCTTCACATGTCGTTTGTTTGAACTCTGGTTTTCATATTATTAATTTCTAAACTTTGCGAGAACTTCACTCTTGCGCTTGATGAAATATCCAACTGCAAACCGTGATAGTCGTCAATAAATGTTACCATATATCGTCACGCTTCCTTCGATTCAACTTGCATGAGACCACATACATCAATGTGGCAACTTCATATGTTTAGTAGCTCTGTGTTGACTTGCTTGAGGAGAAGGATTTCTGTGCATCTTTCCGCCAATGCATCCTTCACAATGTTTGCAGCTTTCTCATTTCTTCCATTATCCATTCCTTTCTCACTTTCCAAATATTTTTCTTCATCATTTTCTTTATGTGATCATGATTGAGATGGCCTAAACTTTGATAGCATATTTGAGGAGATGTATCAATTGACGATTGAGAATATTCAGGATCCTTCACAGTATATAACATACCATCTGTTAACTCATAATGCCATAATTTTATTCTTTCATACAATACATTCATTTTCATCAAATTGCACTTTTTGCTTCCATGGCAATCATTGCTGGTACGGAGAGTAGATTTTTGCAAGCTTTGGCACATACAACACTTTGTGCAACTCAGCATGGTATAATAACACACCAGACCTTCACCAAGAGCATATATACAGAGTTGTCTCTAAATATATATTTCGGTTGGTGTTTGATATTCAACATAGTCCACAAACAAATCCTTGTTGTGTTGTCATATGTTTTGTTGCAGCGGAATCGATGAATCATTCATCAGAGGATTTAATATTATGAATAAGAGCAACATCACTGCCTTCAATAACACATGAACAACTTCTACTTATTGGTTGTATTCAACGGACAATTTCTTGCTATGTGTCCACCTGGTTACATCTGAAACAGGTAACATTTCTTCCTTATTGGAATCATGCAATAACTTTATCTCTTCCCATGTTTTTATCCTGGTTTTCGGTGTTGTGAAATTTCTGTCTAAGGCCTTTGACTTTTCCAAAGTCATTCTTTTCCCTGATTGTAGTTTCCCTTTTTTTTCTCATGTATAGTATCTTCTTTCTTATCTTCTTTCTCTTTACGTTTAAGATGTTCCTCAATCAACGATACTTTTATATTATCCCAATCCATATCTTCAACTTTTTCGGCATTTTACACTAGTGATGGAAATTTTCATTACGAAAGCTCTGGTAGACTACCTAATAGCACCACTGCGAATTTCTTTGACAAAATTCACATTCATTTCACGCAGTTGTTCTGCTAATGTAGTTATATATGTGATATGCTTCAGCAAATCTCCTTCTTCCATGATCACAGCCTCTTCGGAATTTCGATTCAGTCGTATATTTGTGGGACCGAGACAAATTCAAATTGATCTTTCAAGCATAAATCTTAAGGCGTCAGCAGAAATATTTTTCCAGAAACGACAAACATTTTGAATACCGAGCTCGTTGTAGTGGGCCGTAATTAGATAATAAAGTACATGTTTAGAAACTTCATCTTTAGCACCATAACCTTCATTGCTAAAGCTCCATCAAATGCCCATAGCAGCCATTCTTTGAGGATTCAAATTGCAATGCACTAATATCTTTAACATACTTTAAAAAGAACTTCTGATGATAAACCGTCGTCACATGGCATGACGTAATAAAATCTTCTAAAACGTTGTAGTTTTTTCCAGTACGAAGGCAGGCGAAATAGATAATTCAGTTTTCAAAATGTCCTTGATTCATCAGGAATTATGGGATAAAATTTACTACTATTTACTTCATTAAAGGACTTTTCAAGCATTCAGCACCAATCTTTCTTCTTGTTTAACTAAAATATCGTGAGACATGTTTTGATTTTCTTTTAAAAGAACATGTAATCCTTCTTGATCGATGGCTTTGTCTTCGTTAAATTGAATGTTCGAATCTTCTTCTGTATGACTCGACTTGCTACACCTGTGTAGAAGTGTTTTTAATGTATTAAAATGGGCTATCAAGCCTTGTCGCCTCAGACGTTGCTGCTCTTTTACATGGCTACCTTTCTGCCAAATCCAGCTGTAGGCTGGGTATTTATTTTCTGTTTGGTAGCATTGTGGTTTTCGCTTTGGTTGTGATCTGTTAGACGTTCTACGCCTCACTTCCAGTTACAGAAACCAATGCCAGATGGAGTGAAGATGAATAGTGAATATGTATACTTTCCTGTATTCTGTACACATTTCACAAAATGCTGCTTGCTTCTTAACAGTAATGTGAAAGCCATTCGTATTTTTTGAGCCATTGGACTGGAAAAAACTTCCTATTTTACTTCGAGTTTTTTGCCATCGTTGAAGTCGCTCATACTTTGATCTAAAATGAATCAACATTCACCGTTGATGTTTCATGACGTAAGGTCCTGCTATTAACGCTGGTTGATGGGTGGCATCTCCTTTCTAATATTTCGTTATCGTGTGTCAATTTTCCACCAATTTCTTGAGAATGAAAAAATGATGCTATTTTGGTTTGACCACTCGTATCATCAATTGTCTTGTTCTTTTTATTTGCATTTTTCTTTGCTCGTAAAGCACGTGTGTACTCCAAATTTCAACTTATTGACGAACTGATTTTATTGTTTTACAGAGCAATATTTATATAGTATTCATTACAAATAACAAATATTATCATTGGTCAAATAGGTGGTATATAATATCTAATCTATATATGGACGTCATATATGACGTAATAAGTGTTCTATGTGTTAACCGTATGGGAACGGATCATTAGTAAACCCAACTATGTACATTCTATTTCCCTAACGTATTTTTCTGCTTTATGAGCATGACTCAACACAAGCGATAGAAATTATGCCAGTAAAATTCGACTATGTAGTTACCGTTCCCACAAACGCGAGTTTTATGTTCCTCATAACAAAAACGTTACTAACTTAACATGTAAATTTTCAAAGTAAACAGTACTTACACATTACATTCTCTGCCTTCAAAATTAATGCTCATTTTCGTCATGAAATTAATCAAAATGTTTTATGAAAAACGCGCTAAATTACAGCTGAATTAAAAGATACACCAGATAACAAGACTTCGAATCAGATAAAAGTCGAAGAATCTGTAAAATTGGAGCTTGCATATCGGGAAATAAGATATACGTCTACTATTTGTTCAAAATGTGAAAAGGGGCAACTATCTGCCCCGTGGCTAGCGCCCTGGTAAAGTTCGTTTCCAAAATTTCTTTGCAGACGTACGCCATGAAATGACGTTCACCAAAAGCATTAAACATTTGACAAATCAAGGTATTTCTTTGCAGACATACGCTTCTGGAAATGACGTTCACCAAAAGCATTAAACATTATAGACAAATCTCAAGGTAAAATTTCTTTGCAGATGTACACCAGGAAATGACGTTCACCAAAAGCATTAAACATTTAGACAAATCTCAAGGTAAAATTTCTTTGCAGACGTACGCCTGGAAATGACGTTCACAAAAGCATTAAACATTTGGAACAAATCTCAAAGTAAAATTTCTTTTGCAGACATGCAAAAATGACGTTCATAAAAAGCATTAAACATTTAGACAAATTCAAGGTAAAATTTTTGCAGGCATATTCAAATTGACGTTCACCAAAGCATAAAACATTTAGGCAAAATCCTCAAAGGTAAAAATTTCTTTGCAGACGTGCTTACCAAATGATGTTCACCAAAGCATAAACATTTAGACAAATGTAAGGTAAAATTTCTTTGCAGACGTACGCCAGGAAATGACGTTCACCAAAAGCATTAAACATTTAAGACAAATCTCAAGGTGAAATTTCTTTGCAGACGTTCGCCTGGAAATGATGTTCACAAAAAAGCATTAAACATTTAGACAAATGTCAAGGTAAAATTTCTTTGGACGTACGCCAGGAAATGACGTTCACCCAAAAAGCATTAAAAGCATTTAGACCGAAATCTCAAAGTAAAATTTCTTTTAGACGTACTTGAAATGACGTTCACCAAAAGCATTAAACATTTAGACAAATCTCAAGGTAAATTCTTTGCAGACGTACGCCAGGAAGACGTTCACCAAAAGCATTAAACATTTAGACAAATCTCAAGGTAAAAGCGTTTTTCTATTTTTCTTCTGGACTTTTCTTTACTGTTTGTTTGTTATTTTGATATATTTAAACGTCTTTCGATGTCAAAGTGTACGTCTATTGAAAGTTAAGCTAAAACAACAATTTTTATGAACAGAAGGAAACTGACCCCAAAATTACCAATGACATCGTTTTTAAATCAACGCCCCAATAACAGGCAAAAGTCTACTCAAGTAAACTCCTGCGTTGGGGACGATAACTTATTTCTCCGTCTGGTCTATTTTTCTATATACGCAGTCGTTACATAAGTTTTAAACTTATAAAACAAAACTTATAAACTAAACTTGCTTCTTTCTTGACGACACGGTAGAATGACCATGGGGCATACAAATAATATTATTTATGAAGGATTTTAAAAGCATCTAATTTCACGAAATGGAAGAACCTTTAACCACTTTCATATACAAGTGAAAATTTACGAACTGATAATATTCAACAAACTTCAGTTCTCCATAAAGTATGGTTAATAAACTATATCCATGTTCATCTTAATCATTTTATAATCCGTAGATGGAGTCAAGAGAAGAAAAGAATAACTACTACATTCAGAAAATTCTTTCAGATGTTGTTAAGAAGAAACTTGTTGAATTATTTATCAAAGAGTGGAACACTAATTACAAAAAATCCCACGGAGTATGGGATAATACAAACGTTAGTGGTCAGAAGTTGTTCAATATTGAAAGAACAAGAAAACAACTTTAGAAACCATATTTTGTCAAGTTTAGTAGGTGACACCAGTAATTGGGATTGTACAACATTATTTTCAGCAATACTGTATTCCAAATCAATTGGAACAAAAGTTAACCCAAAAGTTAGATCTGCAGTTGATGCACTTCGTATTGTTAGAAACAAATTTATCCATGAATACCATGGAAGAGTATCTGATACCGAATTTGACAAAATGCTTTGTGATATTGAAATGTCATTTAAAGATCTAGCATTTTTATCCACTGAAATTAATGAAATTAAATGTCAACGAAACAAATTTAATTCTTTTCAAAACTTCCTTGCAAATCAAATCACGATGTGGTTAAACGTACAGAGTTACTTAATCAAATCACAGCAGATCTAAATAACTTGCGAAACACTAACAATAATGAACTAACATATTACTATATTTCTGGTAATCCTGGCAGTGGTAAATCTCAATTAGCTAGACAAATTGTGCGAAGAAATGTATAACTCGTTTGACTGGGAAAGAATACGACATTTGTAGTGACACTCGAAGGAAAAGATCGACTCTCTTTTGAAAACTTATGCTGAACTTTATCAACGATTAAATGATAAAACTGTCATTGAAAATATTCGGAAAGAAGCAATAAGCAGCGAAGACAAAATCAAAGATTTTCAATTATTGCTGAAACAACAACTAAAATCTTGGAAAACATGGTGGATTGTTGTAGATAACGTGGTTGAACTTGATAAAATTTATGCATTGTTACCTCAAGTTGGTGATCAAAGTTGGAAAAATGGACAAATTGTAGTAACTGTCCAAAATACAGATGGTATACCACCAGATGGAGGTCTAAATAAACACATTTCAGTTAGTCATGGTATGAGTGATGAAGAATGTCGACAACTTCTATCTGTCTTTTCTGATATTTCAAATCACGATGAAAAATATTTAAAGGATTTATCAGACAAATTTGATCATCAACCGTTGTTCCTGGCAAATGCTGCTTCTTACGTAGGTAGAGTAAAAAGTGTAAATCCGACATTCACGTGGGAGCAATATTTTAGTAAGTTGAATGAAGGAGAGCGACAGAACATAGATGCCAATTTTCAAAAAATTAACACATCTCACTTAGGAATGAAAACTGTTATGTTAGCAGTGCAAAAAAATGCTGAAGAATCCATCTTGTTGGAACATGTTTTTAAACTTTTCTCAATAATATCTTTCGATCCCTTACCACAAGATGTTATAATACCATTCATTAAAAGCATTGATCCACAAAAATCTGCAGAAGATGTCTGTCTTCAATTAAAGCATTGTTCTTTATTCCTTCAAACGAGAAAACAACGACATCCGCCTGCACAGCGTTTTAACGATCGCCATCATAAATTATTTATCGCAGACCTTTGGCTGTAAACAAAACGAAAATAATTCTAAAAGTCTGCAGCTGATCTTGCCTTCAAGTTGCTTGGGCACTAAATCATTTTAAAGACAGAAGATGAAATCAAAATAATTCCACATCTAATTAAATTCATAACAAATTCATCATTTCAACATTTCCTAAATAAGTTGATCGATGTAAAATCATTCTTTTTTTCATTAGAAAACAAAAACTTGATGAAAGAAATTGGAAATTTCCAAATATTTTGTAGATGTTTTGGAAAGATTTTACAACTATAAATATGCAATTAAAGTACTTTATGAAATAACAGAAATTCAAGCTAAAGTGTTAGGTGTTGATCATATTCATGTTTCATACTCGTACAACGAGCTAGGTGAGTTGCTTTGGAAGAATGGAGAATATGAAAATGCTAAAGATTTTCTCGAACGAGCAATGGGAATTCAAGCAAAAACATTTGGACCTGACCATGTTAATATTGCGACAACGTACAACAATCTGGGTTTGGTTTACAACGATATGGGAGAGTACAGAAAAGCAAAAGATTTTATGAACGAGCGATAGAAATTGAAACGAAAGCATTTGGACCTGACCATGTTAATATTGCGATAAAGTACAACAATCTGGGTTTGGTTTACAATAATATGGGAGAGTACGAAAAGCAAAAGATTTTTTTGAACGAGGGAAAGAAATTCAAGCGAAAGCATTTGGACCTGACCATGTTAGTATTGCGACAACGTACAACAATCTGGGTTTGGCTTACAGCGATATGGGAGAGTACAAAAAAGCAAAAGATTTTTATGAACGAGCGATAGAAATTGAATCGAAAGCATTTGGACCTGACCATGTTAATATTGCGATAAAGTACAACAATCTGGGTACGGTTTACAAACATATGGGAGAGTACGAAAAAACAAAAGACTTTTTTGAACTAGCGATGAAAATTCTAACAAAAACATTTGGACCTGACCATGTTAATATTGTCCTAACGTACAGCAATCTGGGCTTGGTTTACAATCATATGGGGGAGTACGAAAAAGCAAAAGATTTTTATCAACGAGCCATAGAAATTGAAACAAAAACACTTGGACCTGACCATATTAATATTGCGATAATGTACAAGAATCTGGGTTCAGTTTACTATAACATGGAGAGTACAAAAGCAAAAGACTTTAATGAACGAGCGATAGAAATTGAAAAGAACACATTTAGACCTGACCATGTTAATATTGCGATAACGTACAACAATCTGGGTTCGATTTACAGTGAAATGGGAGACAAAAAAGCAAAAGATTTTATGAACGAGCGATAGAAATTGAAACGAAAGCATTTGGACCTGACCATGTTAATATTGCGAAACGTACAACAATCTGGGTTCAGTTTACATAGATATGGGAGAGTACGAAAAAGCAAAAGATTTTTTGAACGAGCGAGAAATTAAAACTAAAACATTTGGACCTGACCATGTTAATATTGCGTCAACGTACAACAATCTGTCTGGTTTACTATATTATGGGAGAGTACGAAAAAGCAAAGATTTTAATGAACGAGCGATGAAATTAAAAGAAAGCATTTGGACCTGACCATGTTAATATTGCGACAACGTACAACGATCTGGGTTTGGTTTACAAAATATGGGAGAGTACGAAAAGCAAAAGATTTTTATGAACGAGCGATAGAAATTGAAACAAAACATTTGGACCTGACCATGTTAATATTGCGACAACGTACAACAATCTGGGTTTGGTTTACATTAATATGGGAGAGTACGAAGCAAAAGATTTTTTGAACGAGCGATGAAAATTCAAACAAACTCATTTGGACCTGACCATGTTAATATTGCGACAACGTACAACAATCTGGGTTTGGTTTACAGACAAATGGGAGAGTATGAAAAAGCAAAAGATTTTCATGAACGAGCGATAAAAATTCAAACAAACTCATTTGGACCTGACCATGTTAATATTGTGGCAACGTACAAAAACTGGGTTCTGTTTACAGTGATATGGGAATACGAAAAAGCAAAAGAGTTTTATGAACGAGCGATAGAAATTGAAACGAAAACAATTGGACCTGATCATGTTAATATTGCGTCAACGTACAACAATCTGGGTTTGGTTTACACTAATATGGGAGAGAACGAAAAAGCAAAAGATTTTTTGAACGAGCGATGAAAATTCAAACAAACTCATTTGGACCTGACCATGTTAATATTGCCTCACGTACAACAATCTGGGTTTGGTTTACACTAATATGGGAGAGTACGAAAAGGAAAAAGATTTTTGAACGAGCGATGGAAATTGAAACAAAAACATTTGGACCTGACCATGTTAATATTGCGACAACGTACAACAATCTGGGTTCGGTTTACAATAAGATGGGAGAGTACGAAAAGCAAAAATTTTTATGAACGAGCGATAGAAATTGAAAAGAAAACATTTGGACCTGACCATGTTTCTATTGCGACAAAGTACAAGAATCTGGGTTTGGTTTACAGTGAAATGGGAGAGTACGAAAAAGGCAAAAGATTTTTGAACGAGCGATGAAAATTGAAACAAACTCATTTGGACCTGACCATGTTTATATTGCGGCAACGTACATAATCTGGGTTTGGTTTACATTAAAATGGGAGAGTACGAAAAAGCAAAAGATTTTTACAAACGAGCGATAGAAATTGAAACAAGCATTTGGACCTGATCATGTTAATATTGCGACAAGTTCCAACAATCTGGGTTCGGTTTACGATATATAGGAGAGTACGAAAAAGCAATAGATTTTATAAACGAAAGATAGAAATTGAAACAAAAGCATTTGGACCTGACCATGTTAATATTGCGACAAGGTCCAACAATCTGGGATCGGTTTACGAATATATGGAGAGTACGAAAAAGCAAAAGATTTTTATGAACGAGCGATAGAAATTGAAACAAAGCATTTGGACCTGATCATGTTAATATTGCAAAAACTTACAAAATCTGGGTTCGATTTACAATAAATGGGAGAGCACGAAAAGCAAAAGATTTTCATGAACGAGCGATAGAAATTAAAACAAAAGCATTTGGACCTGATCATGTTAATATTGCGACAATGTACAACATCTGGTTTTGGTTTACAACATATGGGAGAGTACGAAAAGCAAAAAATTTTTGAGTTAGCGATAGAAATTGAAACAAAAGCATTTGGACCTAATCATGTTAATAATGCGACAACGTATAACAATCTAGGTTCGATCTACAATTATATGAGAGAGTACGAAAAAGCAAAAGATTTTTATGAACGAGCGATAGAAATTGAAACGAAAACATTTGGACCTGACCATGTTGATATTGCGAAAACGTACAGCAATCTGGGTTCGTTTACGATAAAATGGGAGAGTACGAAAAGCAAAAGATTTATATGAACGAGCCATAGAAATTCAAACAAAAAGCATTTGGACCTGACCATGTTATATTGCGGCAACATACAACAATCTGGGTTTGGTTTACAGTAATATGGGAGATTACGAAAAAGCAAAAGATTTTTATGAACGAGCCATAGAAATTCAAACAAAAGCATTTGGACCAGACCATGTTAATATTGCGACAACTTACAACAATCTTGGTGTTGTTTACAAACAAATAGGAGAGTACGAAAAAGCAAAAGATTTTCATGAACGAGCGATTGAAAATTCAGACAAAAGCATTTGGACCTGACCATGTTAATATTGCGACAATGTACAACAGTCTGGGTGTGGTTTACCAACATATGGAGAGTACGAAAGCAAAAGACTTTCATGAAAGAGCGATAGAAATTGAAACAAACATTTGGACCTGACCATGTCAATATTGCGGCAACGTACAATAATTTGGGTTTGGTTTACAGAAATATGAGTAGTTACGAAAAAGCAAAAGATTTTCATGAACGAGCGATAGAAATTGAAATGAAAGCATTTGGACCTGACCATGTTAATATTGCGGCAACGTACAATAATTTGGGTTTGGTTTACAAAGATATGGGAGAGAACGAAAAAGCAAAAGATTTTTATGAGCGAGCGATAGAAATTGAAACGAAAACATTTGGACCTGACCATGTGAATATTGCGGTAAGGTACAACAATCTGGCTTTGGTTTACAGCGATATGGGAGAGTACGAAAAAGCAATAGATTTTTACGAACGAGCGATAGAAATTAAAACGAAAGAATTTGGACCTGACCATGTTAATGTTGCGACAACGTACAGCAATCTGGGTTCGGTTTACAGCGATATGGGAGAGTACGAAAAAGCCAAAAAAAATTTTGAACGAGTGATAGCAATTGAAACAAAAACATTTGGACCTGACCATGTTAATATTGCGATAGCGTACAGCAATCTGGTTTTCGTTTACGATAAAATGGGAGAGTACGAAAAAGCAAACGATTTTTATGAACGAGTGATAGAAATTGCAAGGAAAACATTTGGACCTGACCATGTTAATATTGAAAAGCCATCACGTTGTACTTTTACTGTGATTGGAAAAACACGAAAACCTTCATAATAAAGTTTATAACAATAATAGAACTTGAAAGTGAAGCATTTGACCTCTATATTTATGTTTTTTTTCCAACAACTAAAAGTCTTCGTATTTGTAAAACATTTCACGACATAAAGGAAGAAAAAAAAAAATACAAAAGACAGTTGTATTTTCAGTTTAGAGCGATAGAAATTGAAACAAAGTATTTTTTTGAAACATGTATTGAAATAATATGAACAATCTTCATTTGGTTATAAACAAACTATAGATACTGAAACTGAAGCATTTGGACTTCTATTTATTTTTCAATTGCGAGAAGCTAAAATACTCCTGTCTTTGAGAAAATGTACAAGAAGAAGAAAATGAATTTAGCTCATTTTCAATGAAGAAGAAAATCAATTTCTTTTTCATTTTAGGTATGTTGTTTATACTAAAACTGATTAAATAGAGTTGTATTGTAGATTTGTTTTAACAAAGGTTCAAATAACAACAGTTGTATATTTATAAAAGGGTACAATATATTATTGACAATAGTCAAACATTTGTATTTTCAAGTTTTCAACTGTCATTTATTTACTGGAACAGTTTTATTAGAAACTTGTAAGGAACTAACAAAGTATATTTATGAGTTTAGTTTGCAATATCAACTACAGGGCGCGGATCCAGCTCCTTAGCTGACCGATGCATTGCGAGCGCCGAAGGCGCAGAACCTAGGGGTCTGGGGCATGCTCCCCAGAAAATTTTGAATTTTCACTATCCGAGAAGCATTTTCCAGCGATTTGGGAAAGGTGACAGAAAAATCTTAAGCGTAAATTTTATCGAAAAATAACATGAGCCGTCTTTTGTAAGATAACAGCATTGATAAAAGCAATGTTCAAAGGTGGTCTTCTTCAACGGTAAAAAGATGAAAAGTTTAATAAAAGCAATGTTCAAAGATGGTCTTCTTCTAACGGCAGCAAAGATGACAACAATTATAAAAGCAATGTTGAAAGATCGTCTTCTTCCAACCACAGCAAAGATGAAATGTTTAAGAAAATCAATGTTTAAACGTGGTCTTCGTCCTCTCAATAACGGCTGAAAACAAGATAACTCTCAAAGAAAATGTAGGTTGTTTATCAGCATTAAGAATTTCTCATGGAGCTCATCGTCAAGCATCTGTTTCTTTATCCTCCAGGATATCAAGAAATTGCATCCTCGTTGGGTTTTGTCTAGCAAAGGTATTAATCACTTCTTCGACATCACACTTAATATCATCATTAATATGCATTTGGGCTAATCCATTTAACCTTTCGTTGATCATTGTGCTACGTAACCAAGTTTTCATTCGACGAAGGGCAGAAACGGATCTTTCACACTCACATGTAGTGACTGGCACAACAGCGAGTATCTTAAGCGCTGTAAATATATTTGGAAACGCAAGTTTGTTACAAGTTCGAAGCGTGTCGGCAATTGAATCGTACTTAACTTTCTCAAAGCCCCCTTTCCAATTTGTTTCCCACAATCCTAATTCAGCATGTATTTTCCGAAAGTGTGGCATATCCTCTTTATATGCAACAGCAAACTTCATAAACTCTTCCTTCCAATTAACGTCCTTGCAATTGAGAAAAATACTAGGTATAATATAGAATCCACGATAAATATCGCACACCTCTGAAGAAAACCGAAATTCCATCTGTTCAATCAAGTGATCAAGAAGAGGGATGGTTAGTTTCATGCGGTAGTATTCACGTGCTGTATGTGCAGGATAGTTTTCACGAGTTGTCTGAACATTGCAAAGTCGAGGAATTTTTTCATCAACGTTTACTCTGTTTGCTAAATCCACTGCTTCTTCGTAGTATTGGTCATGAATTGTATCAGCCGAGCTGCGTAAAATTTTTAATTGTGACTTCAAAAGATTTATATGTTTAATTGATTCAGCGATATCGATTATCCTTTGCTGCAGCTGGACAGTCAACGACATTGTGTGATGCAGAACATTTGATGTAATCACAAGATTAACAATAAATTCGAAAGATTTTATGGAACGAAGATATCCCTCTGCGTCCCTACTTGAATTATCAAAATCTTTATTCATATTGAGCTTCATTTACTCTAAACTTTGACAAACAGGTACAAATGCTTCCACAAATCCATCAAGTGTACGTATCCGTTCAACCCAACGCGTTGTGGATGGAGCTCCTAGTTTTTTACGACGTAACCCAGACTTTTCCATATTCTGCCTCAAGCACTGCATTCGTAGGGGGGGATGGGCTGAAGAAACTGAAGATCTTTTGAGCATGCCCCAACATGTTTTTGACAGTTTGCTCACCACATGCTTTAGCAACAACAAGGTTCAATCGATGACTAGCGTAATGGATATACAAAGCTTTTGGATTTTTCTTTAAAATACGACCAGCAACTCCCTTTGATTTGCTTGACATTGCACTGGCACCATCATAGCACTGACCACGACAGTTGGAAAGTAGTAGCCCAACTTCGTTTAAAGTATCTTCGATATTCTTCGCTAGCGCTTCGCCAGTCATTCCTTCACACTCAACAAATTTAATAAATCGTTCATTAATTTCTTGCTTTGAGTCAACATACCTTACAACAATTGGCATCTGCTCGATACTGCTGCAGTCTGTTGCCTCATCACCAAGGACTGAGTAAATTGGGCATTCACTAGAATTGATGTCAGAAACAATCTTTTCTTTGATTTGTTCCCCGCAGATCTTTATCAGCTTGTTTTGAATTGTCTTCGAACGATAAGTTGCATTCTTACTTGCATTTTCAAAATGTTTTCTAGTTTCGCGTCACCCGCGTCTACTCTAAAATTCAAAAGGCTTGAAAGTTCCCAGGATTAGAAGATAGAAAATACTTTGAGTCGTCACGATGGCCTCGTAAGGGAAGATTCTGTCTGCCTGCCAGTATAATAGTTTTAATAATAGAGCCTAAAACGTCACGATTGTATTGAATGCGGGCACTTCTAAGATGATCGGCTTGTTCGTCGATGCCAATAGTTTTACCTTTCATCACACGTTGGAACTGCGACAAACGTAACTTGGAGTCACGGTGAATTAGGGAATATTTGTCATGCTGGTAAAATTTTGTTGCCGCACTTTGCCAGTTTCTTAAGGGTTCCTTAAATAATTTACTAAGCTTTGAACCATTATGTCCTGTTTGATGACCGAACAAAACGCAATAATAACAAAGGCTCCATCAAATAATTTAGATTAGCACAACCAGGACCAACGATCTAGCCAGCCAGCACAAAATTTTCTTGAAGATTTACCATTCTCAGAAAAGGAAAATTGAAAGAAGGGGGAGGCTTCCAGTGATTTGTTATAAGTCTTAGCTTTGTGTCGTCATCTAGGGCCGCCACAGATACAAAATGTCCAATATCCAAGGGATCAACATCTGTCATATCAGTTTTTACAGATTTTGACAAGGGACAAGAAGCATTTGATACTTTTCCATCTTCAAAGTCGCATGAAAGAGGTCCTAAATAAAACATTACTAAGATGTAGGTATACGACTACATTCAAAATAATAAAGCCTGAATGCGTTAACATGCAAGGTCATATATCATAGGTCATTGTTTTTGGTGCATTTGAGTGAAAGCTTGTTGCCAATTTGACGATCTCATGTTTAGAAGGAAGGATTTATTCACATGTACAAAAAATATCCTCCATCCCACAACGAATACTTTATATTGCATGGTATGCTTTACTTATGTTCTTAGAAAAGCATGCTTACCTATAATTAAAATATATTTGCACATGAACAATCACTAATTTAACCCACGTTTTAAGGAAGTCTTCAAGCAATCATAGCTGCTGCCATCTAAGTCTTCCCTTGGTGAGGATTTTGCAGGTGCTACCAAAGTTGTGTCTATTTGTTGCTCAAGTCCACTTTTATTTTTCTGTAAGACATCAACTTTAAAGTGGTCAGTAATTTTTTTTTTATTATTAACTCTTGAGTTATTAGTTTGATTAAATTCAATTAGTGGTACAAAATGATTGGGTTGAAATTCTATATCTAATTCTGGAAGAGAATAAGCACCAGTAGTTGTCCACATTAAAATTAACTTAGCAGGCTGAACAAGTTGACTTGAAATATGTTGGTGTGCTTGCCGTGGAAGAATTTTACCATTTAGAAATTGTGAATATTTGGTCTCCTGGTCCAACTTTTCGGGATAAACTGAAATTATAGTCATTCCAGTGACAGAAGACAAACCAAATATACACATAAGTGAAGAATAAGTACCATTGCATGCATTATTTAGAGCTTCCTCTTTAACTACTATTACCTTTGTGCTTGGATTTTTCCTATCATAGCCATTGCCTAAAGCCACATCTGATACTGATGCAGAAAAAGCAGTATTTTCTGACTTAAAAAAATGCAACTTATCTTTTAAGTAAGGGTGGTTAGCATAATACTCCTGGTGATTGAATAGCTCAATGCTTGTCAAGTCTCTCAGCAAATGACATAGGTCTTCCTTGCCACAAAGTAATTTTGAGCAGGCTCTGTACAGACAATTACCATCACCTCTAGTTCTAAATATAGCAGAGTTAAGAAAATTCTCATTGTGTGGCTAAAAATTAGAAATCAGAAGAATTCAAAACTTAAATGTCTGACAGGGTTATTTGGAAAGAAAATGTTAGCTTCTACTGAAGTCATAAGTATATTGGAAGAAGGAATACAGTCATTACATTTTTAATGTAATCCATACAATACATAAACTAAAATGCAACTAAAATCGCACCTACCCTGCATATTACAGTTTGTATTATATTACATATGAATACAAGTATAAGTGCTGCATAAGTAATATGACATCGTGTATATTTTATGATGATTGTTCGTCGTTATCTACACGACTACACTCTGAGTCTGAAATGAGTACACTATTTACATTTAAAACATGCAAGCATAAAGGTAAATTTACTTACTTTAAAGCTCTTAGTTCTCCACTTTGCCAATGAACTGTCAAGTGCTTAGGTATTAACATTTCACTTGACATATCTCTCCCATTTTACCCTTTGAAAGGGATTCCAAGGAGAGGATTTTGAAATAAAAGTAGCAACTCTCGTTTCATAGGTTCGACGCACTCCATTAATATCAAATGACTTCTCTTCTCGAAGCAGAGTACACAGATCGTGTTTGATATTCTCGACAGCCATGATCGATGATTGCGAGTTATATCAAGTGATCAAATAACAATGCATTCAACTTTGAAGTTCAAAGTTGAATGCATCGGTGCCATGTGCCCACAATCACAAAATTATGGAAAATGCATCGCTCAGCGGCAAAATCTACCGTGACGTGAGGCCCTAAAACAATGGTTTTGCTGATGTCACAGTAGATTTCACGCGGAAAGGACTCGGGACCGATGCATCGACCGATGCATCGCAAATCTACTGTGACGTAGCGATGCCTCTTCCATCTACCGTGACGTGCTGGCAGAATACTATTAAATTACTTACTAATTATGTATTCACGACAAAATTTCGCTAAATTTTATCGACTTTTCTTTCGCTATTTGTGTCATGGAATACGACAAAATTATCGGAGAACACAAATGTTATTTCTAGAACAAATTTTAGCTTAAAACTGCTAAATCTATAAGTTAACTAAACAATTTATCACTGTCAAATGTGCGTTTTAAATAATTCGAAAATAATATTTGCTATTTATTTCATTAAAATGCAAACTCGCAGATTTTAATATCTAAATATTTTGACCGATGCATTCGCATCGGTTGCATCGGTCTAGATCCGCCCTGTCTAACTATTCAGAAGTTGTCTGCTAAAGAGTCTGCTATGTCATTTATTCCCAGTGCATCTTAAAGAGCTCTGGCATTGTGTGTAACAGTTAGTATTTCATTTTGCAAGGAACTTCTTTTTTTCCAAAACATTTGAACATTAGAGAAATTGTGTAGAAACTATAAAAAGTTTATATTAGGAATATATTTCTAGAGAAACACCCTACTTTAAAGTATGTATCCATTCAGGAGTGAATGACATGACCAGACATTTTTGGCTAATGTCTTTACAACTGATAAGAACAGTAAATGAGTCATTTCTACTGGTGTCTCTACTACTGATATGGACAGTAATGAGTCATTTTCATTGCTATGACATTCATGTCTTGCTTTTGCTATAGTTTATACTTTACATTGCTTTGAAACTGATTCTCCAAGCTACATAAATTATTTTACCAAAAAATCACAATACAAAATGTTGTGGTTATCTCTGATCCCAAGAAAACCAAATATAAATTAAAAATGAGATTTACTACATTTAAATGTAAGCGAGAAAAGAACATTGTCGCAACAATCAAGTGCAAATCCTCAACAGTAAATAGAAAGAAATCACACAAAACTCTTTTAAATACAAATAATAATTTACCATTTATCACAGTGAGCAGAAATTTGTATATTTACACAGCAAAGCCAATGTTTAGACTTTTTAGAAAACTTACTAAGCACTATCAATTTTACATGTAAATAATGTACATGTTAACATTTTTCTTATTAAACAACAAAAAAGAACCAAACAAACACTCCATTTAAACCTTTGCCTACAGAAATTGAAAATACAACTGTTGCTGGTCAGCTAAAGGAGAAAGAAAACATACCCAAACACCAGGGCTAACAAAGCATCTTGTTCCTTGAAATGGAGCCACAAATCCATTCCTTTCTTTAAAGACTAAACACAATAAAATCCTTTGCTGACATGCGCTTTGATAGATCTGGCATTGGTGACCACCTGACAATGTAATTTATCTTTATGTATGTTTTAGGTAGTGATGTAGCCAAGAAAAATAGGGCTTTTACTCTAATTATGTGTGTCTGGCCAATATTTACTGTTGTCATCTCATATGTAGTGTAGTGAGTAACGAAAAGTAATTGAACAACAAAATATTTATTTTCATACCACTGGTAGACTTGCTATACGCTACGAGTTGTCATGGTGTTATTAAAGGACTGAATTCTGATACCTTCGTTCGATTCTTTTTTTTATTTTCCGTAAATTATACATGTATTTAATAAAATATACATTTAAGTTGATTTATCCAAACGGGAACCCCCACGGTCTTGGGATCTAAGTTCTTGATACAGGGTGTTTCAAAAAAAGGTAATCCAACTTTTACTTGCTGATGTGTGTAAATTACTGAATAAATAACTGTAGTTTTAAATATTTCAAAAAGAGTTCTAGGTTCTAGCTATGGAATGCTATGTTGTTTGTTGCGATTTCGAAGGAAAATGAGTGAAATGCAAGCGCGTTGAAAAATTTGGTCAAAGTCGCATTTATTCACCTTTGAGCATTTTTCCATCAACATGCAAGGTGCTTTGCTGGTTTGTTGACTGACTATCCCATATTTCATGGTGATGTCTCATTTTTCAACCTTGACATTATTTGAAATTATCTGACATTTACAAATTCCATGATTTAGCACAAATTGATCGTTAAGGAGCCTTAATTAAACGTAGTTAAATACATAACAAATTAATAACTACATACGTATAATATAGAAGCTACATTGCATTAAAAATCCCGGTCAAGAAACTTATTTTAATTACATTTATACCTCCTAGCGTGGAGATCAATCATTGCCGCTGAATCATGCGAAATTTTAAATTATCGGCTAATTTCAAAGATGACCAGTTCTTTGCAAAGATCATCAAGTGTACGCTCGCTACGCTGAAATCGATCGAGGTGTTTAACTACACTGTGAAGCATTTGAAAGAAATAAAAGCATAGAGCACTGTTTTACCCGCTGTTAATCAAGTTGTACAAGATTTTGAAACGCTTAATTAGCATTAAATCTGTTTCTATATCTCAAATATAATACACTTTAATAATTATTTTAAACATTGATTTGTTTTATCTTTCGTCATTGACTTCAATTTTCGTCGATCAAAACAATAGTTGACTTGAAGTGTGATTTTATTGTCTTTTTTGTGTCATCTCCATCCTAACCATAAAATATTTCTGAATTATTCTAAAGATAACAACATCGCAATGAAGACATAATTGAATTCATCTCTTGGCATAGGAAAAGGTTAAACTCTAATCTCTTGGTTTATTAAAAATTAAAAGAAAATCCGTACATGCATTAATTTTATGAATGGCTTCGAATATTACTTTTGACATAAAAATAAGTCGAAGTTACAAAAAGTACAATTTTTGTGCTTTTTGGAATTTGATGCCACTTTTAAGTATGTATGGAGTTTGATTCATTCATTTTTTACCATTTTCGCGCATTATTTTGAACATAAACGACGCAGCATTAATTAAAATGGATTCAGATTAAGACTGTCTATTTCTGTGCCAAGGTATTTATAAACTTCCTTTATATTGTAAGTTCTCATCATCTAACTAAAGGATTGTATCACATTAGCCAAGTCGTTGAGATATATTAGGAATAACAAAGGGCCCAGAATAGAAATCTGTGGGTTTCCTGTGAGACTTTCCTCTTCCTGTGATATAACTCTTAATATTATAAAGTGAATATATAACTAAAGAGAGACGCAAAGGTATAGAAACTGAGGTAGACCCAAAGGTGGACAAAAACATAGACAAAAAGGTAGAAACAAAGGTAGACAAAACATAGACAAAAAGGTAACACAAATAAAGGCAAAAAGATATACAAAAGATAAACGAAAGATTGACAAAAAGACGAAGACTAATGGAAACAAAAGGTAGACACAAAAGTAGACGTAAAGATTAAAGTCGGACAAAAACTTTACAATGTGCAAGGATTGTCGTTTCACAAAAAGATAAATTACTATTTTTTTCATTTGATTTTAGACATTTGGACCAACAAACTGAAAACAGATAAACTTGTTTCGGAAGGAAAAAAAATGGACGATATTAACCATCGTATCTAGGTAATTTTCAGGCTATCTCACAAACATCCTCAGTTTCATGTCGACGACGGCAAGCACAGAGGCAAGATTGACCATTTCTTACAACTGTGCATGTCGCACACAGCATGAAATTGAAAATATTAACTGCAGTAAGAAAATTAGGATTTTTATAATTTGTTTTTTTTTTGATAAAGATAAATTTTTTATCCCACAAGATTTTCACATTAAAAAATGTCGAAATTTGGGCGTTTGATAATGGCGTAATTTTATTCATCTGTAAAGAAAATGAAATTGTGTAAAGTTACAATAGGTAATTTAAACTCCTGAGATAAACACAACTTTCTCATGGGTTTATTTTGTTGCTGTAAAAATCTTACCATCATAAATCGTTGGTTGAAAGTGACTTGTCTTTCGATCAATTGTCGAGACGAGAATCGTGATCTAAGAAAGAAAAATGCTCAGGAAAACGTTTTAAAACAGCCAAAGGCCAATAAACTGCATTTGACTTGGAGACACTGTAGATTGAAACGTCGCTAAAGAACAAAATCTTTTGATTTCCCATTCATAGCTTGCCATGTAAACGGAATAGTGGACTCACAATATATATACGTCTTGTAAAATTACTGTCAAAAACGATGAAGGAGGAAAAAGATACTTACCATCTTAATATTTCCTCAGTTATAAAGCAGTTCAGACGAAGTAGAATATCAATTCGTAAATAGCTCAGCCTCAAGGGAATGGTGAACAAAAGCCAAATACGTTTTCATCGTGGTCAATAATCAATTTCTTTATTTATATAAGTCCGCCATCATGGTGAATTAAAACCACCAACATTTGTTCTGTTCTCGATCGCATTAACAGAAAAATGTTCACGTCTAAAACAAAGCAAAGAATTAACATTAACAAAAACGAAAACTTTATAAGAAGACGTATATTTAGGTCACACATTTTGCATAAAGATATTAATGTCGTTTACATTTCACACTTCAATCAAAGAGAGAGTTCTCTCCTAACAAGAAAATCAAAAATCACATTTACGTACCTGAACATGTTATCGAAAAAGTCAAAGATATATTTCGATTTCGGCAAATATTCTTCGTGTATGTAGGAATGCAGAGATTTAAATAACGCATTGAAAGTTTGAGTTGATCTTAAAATATGCCCCAAGTTGCGGAAAGCATGTGTTTTCTGATTGATCAGTTCTTAGGGGTGTACTTAATTCTACACGATACAAAAGTAAAAATGTTTTGTTAATTGCATCTCATTTCTTTTTATTTTTATGAGCGAACGTTATAATTCTTTATGTCGTTGTAAGAGTAAGGTCCGTTTTAAACGTCGCATTTTACATGAACCAAATCCATTAAAAACAAAAGAAAATGAGAAAAAAATCCTCGATATCTTTTGTTCATGCATTCTGCTCATGTAAAATTCGACGTTTCAAACAGGCCTAAGATATTATGGCAAATTATTTACCATCCAGTCATAGTGGACTTTGCTCTAAATTTGACAATTTACAAGGTGTAAATACTGTAAAATCAACTCTAAAATCTCGCAAAAAACTTTTTCTCAATAACCAATGAACGAAAACGGTCACTTTCAATTATTCGTTGGAAATGGGCTCTTGGTAGATAAATGAAAAATGTGCCACAGGAAAACAAATAGTAAAATATCTTCGCAAAGTGAAAGTTTTAATGAGAAAAACATGTTATTTTATCATTATGAAAATGTTATCTATGTTCTTTTCACATGCTTTCCTTGACTTTGAAAAATGTTCAAAAAACAATAATTTTACATGGGTAAACAAAGAAATTGTTCCCGTGAGATGAAACGTAAAATGTAAAATTTACCTTCCATATTTACTAAATGATGTTTGTCGAACGGCTGCTGTACATTTAGGATGAGAGAGAACTTTCTGCCTGCGTGGAAATTAAACAAATAAAATTGCATTAAGATGATGTATGTTGTTACCATTGAACATGGAACGCTACCTCAAGCAAATAATTAAAGCCAAATCTTACATCCAGACACGCGAGATTACACGCAGACACGCGTGTTTAGTGTTTCGAGATTCTCTCGCGGAGTGAAAATTGATTGACTACACATGTCCCCTGGAGTCCTCGTCATCACCAGGACCATCCACTTGAGGCATAGGTAAAGGTGGTTTCCAGTCCATTTCCTCATCATCCTCCGAACTGCAAGTGAAGAAGATAGCCACTCAAAACTTTAGAGAAGATTCATTATTTTTCATTTAAGATGTTTACAGTGTTTGAACAGGATTATGAAAAGCAAGGAGAACTTTGGGAGAACTCCATCAGTGATGACCAGAGTCAAAGGCTGGCACCTGCTCCAAAGTTCTCACAAACGTCTCCGAGGTTTGCATAAGCCTGTGTAAACACGAAAACATCTTTTACTTCTTTATAAAACAACGATAATACAAAACGGAAAATTTAAAACAAATGTTTTCGTTTTTCCTGTAACATGTATCCTTGATTGATTTGGAAATTCTCTTTGATTGATTTTGATTGATTGAGCTCAGATAGGTTCGCTCAAGCCAAGTTAGCTAATGTTAACTCAACTATAGACAAATCAACGCACGCATTTTTATTTTTTTATTTTATAAACAAAAATGGATACTTTTACCTTTGGGAATCATGTTCCTCTTCATTCTCTTTCCAAAATGGCTGTGACATTAATATTGATTCTTTATCTTCATCAATATCTTCATCATGTTCATCATCACTACCTTCTCAATAAACAATAAAATAAAAAAGATTGATTAAAAAACTTCATACAAGACATATTTTACTAAACACAAATGGAACTGTACACAATCACCATTGATATCCATGTCTAATTATGGTAGTTTTTATCTCAATACAATATTCATATAATGGAATGTTCATTCTTACTTTGTGAGCCTGCAATATGAGAACATTCATGCAGCAGTGTTTCATTGTCATCCTTATCCAAACTCATTAAAATCTCCACCAATTCTTTATCCAACTCTCCAGCTAAATAAATGTTTTACATTTATAAAAATTTAAGCCCTTGAGAGAAAAAGAATTATTTTTGGTGAATAACACATAAATTGCTGGCCTGGCTGGCTTGTAGTACATCTATAACTGACTGATCAACAACTGGACTATACACATCCACATCTAAAATAGAAGAAAATAGAAATACTTTATTGTATAAGTCTAACTTGAAATAAGTTAAATAAAATTCATCAAAACCTTGGTTTATTGTTGCTTCACACTGTGGTTGCTTGTTTTGTGACAAAATACTTTGAGAAAATTTTTTAAAGTCTTCGGATGAAAGAAATTTTTCCATTGTCTCCAACTCACTTTGACTGCAAGTTTATTTGAAATTTATAAAAACATAAAGTTAAATCATTAAACATCACAAGATCAAATCTTACATCACTTTGTTTCTTTCATCAATAATTTCTTTGATTTTTTCTTTAAATTCTTTCTCAAGATTCAATACAGGTGTTTCAACACAATCTAACGGCAAAAAGTCGAATCTTTATGTAGTGTGAACTGTAAAGTAAACAAAATTAATGAAGGAAAATTTGAACACATCTCATCTAGATGTGAAAACATCAATCAAGACTACCCCCAACAGTCCTTCTCAATACTGTAGTATCCTTTATGATCAACATCAACAAACATGCAGCTATACTTCCACAATGTGTTCAAACCATTCACTTTATTGACAAAATGTTTTGCACATGAAATTTACAGCTATAATCCATAATGAAATGTTTTTATTGGGCACCTGAGATCTGATGTATAATTATAGTAAAGTGGGCACCTATACATGCAAATGTTGCATCTCTGATGTCGGTAGAAAAGTTAGCCCATTTTTTACTCCTATGTACAATACAAATATTGCTTCATTCAATTACTTTGAAAAACAATAAATGAGATTAATTTCTAAAGATATAAACAACAAACTTTGCAGGCCTTGCCCCCTGTCTGGTGCACAGTTTACAAAATAACTTCTCCAGTCTGGGTTATAACAATCAAAGACGTGTTTTCCTCATTAATAATAAAAACAATAATTACAGGTAGAATATAAGGAGCATGAGCTTCGTGTGGTTGAAATGACTTGTTCAATATAGCTCCATTCTGAAGAAGATCAACAAGTCTGAAAAAAATGAAAAATTTTGATGTCGTTTTATGTTAGAACAACATGAAAAATATATCTTACTTGGGAATTATTCTTGGATTGTACAACTCCATCTTAATAAACTCTTCTTCGTTCTCATGATAACCATAAAATGGTCTAAAAATAAAATCATTTTGGGTGAATAATATTGAAACGTTGTTGGGTCGAAAATAGAAGATTTTGTATTGTGAGGTAAAGAAGAGAGTAAAAGAGATTTAATAATAGTAAGCTTTGTCAACATGAGGAGAAAACAAGGAAAATAAAACTTACATTTTCTTAACAATTTCAGTTTTATGAACATATTTCATAGAAGATGATGTTCTACAGAACGCAACTTGAACAGCAAAGTCTGCACTTGTCGTAAATTGTTTCAGATATTTATCTGTGGGTTTAGTTCCATCGTAAGGTATGTATAAGTAAGGAAATACTTGATGAATATGAACACAAGTTTTCTGTCCACCAGGAGTTGAGCCAAATATCCTCAAAACTGGAACACGGTTAACATTCCCCTCGCGAAATTTAGAAAACAAAATATTTAAGCCATCTATAGTTTTTCCCACGTAAAAATCTGCATCTACAATCCCAACAGAAAACATTCTGTTGTTCCAAGTAAGAAAAAATATCGTCAATTAAAATTTTTGAATGACGAAAGACGAGAGTTGATCCGCCATATTTGTTATAGATTATAGATTAGCCAATCAAAGATTTTATAAGCAAACCCTTATACCAAATCAACGTAATTATTTTTTGGGATTAGATTGGATAAAGGCCTCCCTCTAATCTCTAAGTTAACACTGTCCTCAAACAAACGCTGCAATTAAAAGTCGGGGGGGGAGCTTACCAAGCTAAAGCATGTATGCCCACAATCTGAACGGCCCACTTTTCGTAGTTATTGTAAAGAAAAATCCGACATTATAAGTGATAAAATTATGCTTTTGGTTAAAACTCATTTGAACATTTTATTTATTGACATGTCACCAAGGAGAATAAATTTATCATCACAATATCACGACATCCTCACAATTTTGATAGAGGCACTGCTATTTAAGACACTAAATTTACCTCAGTAATGCTGTAATTACTTTGAAAGTCGTCCTTACTAAACTAGGTGAAATTTTCTGACAAAGCAATTTTAAAATTAAATCCAAGGATTTTGGCAGCAGCTTTGATTAAGTAAACAATAAAAATGATATTTTTCCTGTCGCAAATAACTTTCAGAATTATGGAAAATCACACTTTAGAAACACTGGTAATCGTTATTGACGAACTCAGATTTAGAAATTTTCAAGGGTGAGCAAGACTTTCAAGGGTGAGCATGACTTTATAGACCTCGCTAGAAAGGCTCACGCGTTTGGCGTAAGAAAATATGCTCCCCAAGTTCATGTCTTTCTTCATGTCTAACTACGACACTGCATGTAAAGGATTTCCGCTTTCGTTGAGCAAAATAGTGTCCGCATCTTGATGTTTTTGGTCCCGTACACCCATGTCAATACTGAAAATTAATAATAGTTAAATGTGTACAACATTTATGAGTTGATTGAGTTGAACTGAAATTGAATTTGCAATAAAATTTCTAAATCAATCCCTGTCGTATATATTTCAATTATAGCTAAAATATAAAATTTGCTCATCTCATTTTATCGTCTCGCTGTTATGAACAAAATTCAGGGCGGATCTAGGATTTTTCAAACATCAGTCATAAAACGTCGGAGGCGCTCTGCACCTAGGGGTCTGAGGCATTCTCCCTGAGAAATTTTGAATTTTAGATCCTTGAAAATGCCATTTTCAGCGTTTTAGAGCAATACAAAATGTATTTTGTGGGCATCGTTTTGCGTAAAACAAAAATTTTGCTTACGTTTTTTCAAAAAATGAAGTGAACAATACTTGAATGTTTTGCCAAATATTTAGGCTCATTATCATGCCAAATATATGGCTCATTAGCATGTCTAGGAACGTAAAATTTATTTTACAATAATGCTATTCAAAAACAGATATAGTTTTTAAAAATTTCTACCAAGTTTTCAGGCATAGACCCCCCTAGAGACACCCATTCAAACCTCTATGTAATGAGTTAAGTTAGAAATTTGGTACTACAAGTGACAGTTCATAGATATAGAAAAGCTCAGACTTCAAACCATGCAAGTTTATTGTAACCCTTTACCCATCTCCACATCAGTGCCAGCAAATTCACTTTTTGAGAAAAAACTCAAAAAATTTTTTTCTGCCAAAGATTAAGCAAAAATTATCAGAGTGAAAATTTACAGTTAAGGACAGCTTAATGCCATAAATTTTTATTAGGCATTTCTTTTGACTATTATCTTCTGTAAGTATATGCAAGGTGTGCTATATAGCAATCACTAGTAGCATTGTATTTGCAAATACAAACAGAATGTAACCAACATGTCTTTAATTATATAATTACATGAATGTTAAAATTGGTTCATGTGTCATGCTTACTGGTTATGATAAATATCTTTTCATATGATCAAAGCTCGTTTAAATGTAAATCTGAAATAATTTAGTTTAGAAATTATAATGATCATCAAAAAATTACCTAGTGATCATGAAAAATACTTTGCTGTTTTGCCAAATTTCAAGGTTTATCTGCATACATAGAAAGACATTTTTACTTCATAGAAAATGCTTTTCATACATCAATAGCCCTTTGGAATTTATGGCAGACAATCTGGTATGAGGCGTAGATTAACACACCTTTACATCTCTACATGAGGTGTTCAGTTAGAAAAGGGGACAATATGTGACATGGGACAACATTTCATGTATGTGAAATACTCAGGTTTAATACCATTCCAGTCAAATTGTCAAAATAAAAAGCTTCTTGGATCAGAAGACTCAAAATCACAGGTTATAGTAAACAGCTTCTCATGTAATCAATGTTAGTTTTCTCAAATCTTAAACAATATGTAGTATCACTGTCCAATGATTGAATGATCAATGATCATAAACTGAAAAGCCCCAAACATTTGTTTATGATAAAGTAAATAATAGTATGGCGCCTTATGGCTACAGATTTTTTGTCTATTGAAATATATTTGCAGGAATGTAGGATTTCGCTGCCATACAACGGCCACGATTCCCCAAGCACTAAAGAAATCATAGCTTAAGGTCCTTCGGCAACAACAATTTTAGAAGCATCAATCTCACTAGTTCGTGCTTCAAATTGACCGTGACCCATTGTAAGAAGTATTTTTCGTACGTGAACGTGTTTTCTCGGCTTATGTTCCGACTCTGTAACAAGTTTTCAAGATACTTAAGCTTGGTGGCAAGCGGCAATGTTATCCTGGCATCAGTGTTATCAAATACTTGGACAAGACTTTGTTCGAAACTTCGAATCATAGTAATCATGCAGTTTTGGTCCGGAAAGATTTGTGTTCAAGATTTGTAATAATTTAATGGTAGTGAGTGGTTTATGCCCCCCAATTTAATCCAAGTATGATATTTTTTATTCTGAAAGATCACAAAATTTTCTTGCTCAGCAGAAAATGACAGACTTTTTTACTTTTTAGTTATTGAAATATGCAATGATTTGACCAAGATGCATTTGACCTTAAACGTTTTATTCCTTTATATGAAGTTATTTCGCCTTTATCACTTTATAAAGTATTAAAGTTTATTTCTAATAAAGTTTGTTAGGGATTCTGCTGAAAATTTTGGTGAAGCATTTCTTTAAAATGAATATATTATTTCTATAATATATTCTGTTGTTGAAGAACAGTCTGTTTGCTATAAATGCTACTGTTTGTAGTCTTTTATACAGCATATGAGTCTGATCCAATCTTTAATTTAGCAAAGAGTTAAATTTATTGGTTGAGGAATGACAAAACTTCTATATGTGTTTAATGATCAAACAGGGTGTGTTGGAGGGCTCAGCCCCGTTTGTTCAAATTCTATGCCTTGTATTGCCAGTGAAATATATATATCAAAAGCTAGCAGCACCTAAATATATATCAGAGCCGGCAATATTTTAATATATATGAGAAAGGCAGCAACAGTTGTAATACAACAAACAAACAACATTTGTATACCGGCCAGTATTAATCCCGCGAGGGGGTTGTCCATGAATTTTCTACGCCAAACGTCTCTATCTCTCGCCATATCTCTCGCTATACCCATCCCTTCACATCACAGCATCCATCTCTCTTTCTCGGTCTACTCGTTTGCGGACTCTTCAACATTCATATGCAACGTTGTACTTCCCTCCTTTCCACATGCCCAAACCACCTCAAACGCTGGCGCACCCAATTCTCGATTTCACCAACTCTTTCTCAATCTCTTCACTTCGAATCCTATCCATCAACGTTACACCACATCATCCTAAATTCTCCTTTCCGTCGACGCCAATCTTCTCAGTTCCTCTGCTTTCCGCCTTCTGCTCCATATCCCAAAACACTTCTAACACATGCCTTGTACAATTCTCCCTTCTGCTTCAACGAAGTCGACTTTCCACAACATTCCCGACAACTCTCTAAAACTCCACCACGCTGCTTGAACTCTGTTCCTCACCGCTTGCTCGCACCCTCCACCATCATTTAACACATTGCCCAGATATTTAAACTCCGATACACCTTCCAAACTCACGTCACCCAGTTCAAACCGTTCAATCGCGAATCGCCCACCACTTCGACACGTCCGCACTCAAAATCAGTTACTCTTGTCAATGCACCACGGACACCTGAACATCTTCCATGAACCACTTCCATTTCATTATCGATTCTCCAACTCTTTCCCACACACATGGCCATTTATCACTGTCCTTCACCTCCACCTGCCTCGAGCATCTCATGCCCTTCGTCTTTGCCTCATTCCGCTTTTTCCTTCTCTTGCCGTTTTCCATTCTCGGTACCATTCCATGTCTTTCTTCGACTCCGCCAACAAGACAATGTCATCTGCATACAACAAACACCAGCATCCTTCTTTTCTCCCTTCCTCTGTCAGTACATCCATCACACAAGCAAACAGTAACGGCGACAAGACTGAACCTTGATGAACACCAACTTTTACCTCAAAAACCAGATCTAACACCTTCCTCCGTAACCACCGCCTCTACACCTTCAAGTCTCCATAACTGCCCGAACCATATTCTCTGTCACACCTTCCTCCACTCTCCCTACCAAATTCTCCAAATCTATCCCTTCTCCATTTCTCCTGCCCTGCCTTCACAACACGCATCCGTCGTTCCTCTCCCCGGTATGAATCCATACTGCTCTTCCCCCATCCGAACAACTTCTCTCAACCTTCTTTCAAACACTCTCTCTACTATCTTCAACGCATGCTCCATCAGCTTAATAGTCCTGTAATTCCCACATACCGTCGCTGCTCCTTTTCCTTTGTGGGACCACTAGACTCTTTCTCCATGTACTCGGCATCTTTGAGCCCCTCAAAACCTCGTTCGCTACATTACACAACTCTCTCACATAGTTCATTGTCCAACATTTCGCTACCACTTCACTCGGTCCCGTCGCCTTTCCTTTCTTCATCTTGCGCAGAGCCGCCCCTCATCAACAGTCACTGTTTCCCGGCCCCAAAACTTCATCCGCTTCAACTTCTCCATTCCACTCATTCTCTACATTCATCAAACGGTCACAGTACGCCCTCCACACTTCTAACCTGTCTTCAATAACACCTTCAACTCCCCATCGTGGTTCTGCACGCCGGAGCACAAAATATCGTTCCTCTCCTTCTTGCTCCTTCTAGCCGTTCTAAACAACGCTTTCGTCCATTCTCCTGCATTTTAAGGAAGCTCTTTCTGATGCCTTTCTATCGCTTTAGCCACCTCCTTTCGCGCCTTTTTCTTGAACCGGATGTAATCGATCCTATCTGCTTCAGTCCGCGACTTTCTCACCTTTTAAATGCAAACTTCTTCCGCCAATCACTTCGCTGACTCGTTGATCACCACCATGCCTGTTCTTCTTCTTCACCGCCTTTGCTTCACTACAGCATTCCTTCCTCCCGCTCCCCTTCATTCACTCCATACTCCATCCACCATTCCAATTCCATCCATCCTCCTTCCCTTCCTTCCACCTTCCTTCCAGTCCATTCCATGCTAAGTCCACATTCTTTCCTTCCATTCCTCTTCTTCATTCACCAGTATAATCCACCACCGTCCTACTGTCACCAGATTCATACGTCACAATTGCTTTCTTCCTTTATCACGTATTCACTACCACCCCACAACTCGCTGCTAACTCCAATATCGCCTCGCCTTCAGCATTCATATCACCAACTCCAAAACCTCCATGCGCACAGTATCCTTTTCTTACGCTTCCCACATGACCTTCCAATCACCAAGCATCACACATCGCCTCTAATGTCTGCTCTCACTGCATACACGCTGTCGTAGAACTTTTCCTTCTCCTCCGCACTTCGTCCAACCTGCGGGCATACACCACAACGAAACTCACAACTTCGGCCTCAATAACTACATCAACTCTCAGGACTCTGTCCGAAACTCTCTTCACTACAACCGACTTCGCCCGATCCTCTCTTATCGCGAAGCCAACACCATTCGTGCCACTTCCGTTTCCCTTCCAAAACCACTTAAATCTCGCTCCATTATTTTCACCCTTTATGACTCTCGTACCTTCACCTTTAAACCTTACCTCCTGAAACCCACACACATCAACTTTCCTTCTCTTCAACATGTCCGCCACTTCTGCACTCCTTCCCTTCATTATCTCAACGTTCACTGTGCCTACCCGAAGGGTGACACTTCCACCAACATTCGATCCGGAGTTTCTTCGCACCCCCTGCCCACTGAAGGGCTGCCGGGGACTGGGGGCCATATCTGCTTTTCCAAAGTTCATGAATTTCGTTGGAGCAAAAGTTTTACGGTAGGATGCCCTTCCTTACACCAACCCCTTTTAGTCGTCTTTTACGACACGCAGAGGATACGTTGGCGCAATTCTAAGCCGGCAACCACACGGCAGTTGTAATATACATTAAAAAGCCCAAATAGCTGAAATTATTGAGATATGCCTCTGTGATCTTATAAACCAAAACCTGCAATTAAAATATCAACAAGTCTAGAAGAGAAGTAATGTTCTACTTTGAGCTACAGAAGTAGGGTACATTTGTACAATTCAATACCAAAATATATTGTACTCAGCTGTTTCAGTGAATATCCTAATTATAATTACTTCATTTTAAATGATGAACTAAAAATACAAAATACAACATGGAAAATCATAAGAGTTTCTGTGATTTGGTGTAGTTGTTTTAGTATGGAAGTGGCTGAGAATTGAGAGGTTTGTAGATTGACCAATTTCAGAACACAATGAGAAATCATCTTCGATTAAAAAACAAGCTTGGAGTAAGAAAACTATTGAAACTGCATCAGCACGAATTTTGCAATGTTATTTGGCCCAAAATGTTTCTCTACTTGAGTCAGTTAATTGAACCTTATATCAAAAGCAGTTCAGCACAACAATCACCATACGCAATCAAATTTCGTAATTTCGACGTAAAGGCATTTCTTTCATTTTTTTCGTAATCCTCGATTTATACGATATGTAATGACATTTAGTTGCCTTCAACAATCAGTTATTACACACTTATCCATAAAAAAACGCAATATTATCTCAAAATACTGTATTACTAGCAGCAATTGCTATATAAACACTAGCTAAAATTTCAAAACTAGGAACCAAATTGGCGGAAATTGATCAGGTGATCAATATTGCCCAATCAACGTAAGCTAAACGGATAACAATAGATGTCCCAACTCTTATACTATAGAGCAGGGGTCTCCAAACTTTACAGCCAGAGGGCCACATGAACTTTCATCCAGCATGTTGAGGGCCGAAGAATATAAAAAATTTCCACTTTATCCTTCAGCTTTTTAAATTTCGCAATGTGCTTGAAACGGAAGTAGGAAGTTGGGAGAAAAATTGACGTAAGCCACTCTTGCTAGTTGGCTTGCGACATGACGTGACTTTCTGCACAAAGTTTATTTTGTTTAATAATAATATTATTTTTCTTAAGTGCTTCTGCGGGCCGGATTGAGAGACCCAACGGGCCGCATCTGGCCCGCGGGCCGTAGTTTGGAGACCCCTGCTATAGAGGGCTCTGTTTAATACGCGTATCAAAACCAGAGTTCGCCGACTGTCAACATTTTTGAAACGAATTCGTACTACGTTTGATTTGAACCAATGAAATAACAAGTTTTCTACTCAAGTTGGCTTTTTTTTTTCAAAATGGAGTCGTTTGAGGAATGGCAAGACAATATAAACGAATTCTCCAGAGAAAAAGAAAACTCAGAGGCATCTGTGGCGGAATCTTTCAATAGAAGTAACATCGAATCTACTGCTCGCGCTATAAATGTACAAGAACCTCCATTTTTGATTAACTTAATCGAAGAAGTGCGAAAGTACCCTTGCATCTGGAACGTTTCGTCAAAGTTGCATAAAGACAAACCAAGGAAACTGGAAGCATTGCGACGAATTTCTGCTGCTTTGTGTGTACCTGGTATGTTATCTTAACAATATACATTGCTTAACAATATACATTTATGTAGTCACTACAGTTCTTGGTCCAGCTTTTGCAATTGAAGTGTGTCCTACATTTACTATTGAGTGTGAAAATTGTATTGCTATTAACTGCCACTTGTTGGGTATAAATTTATGTCTATTTAAATGTGTTTGATTAGAAATATCTAGTTATGTGGGTTTTGCTTTATTTTATTCAATACTTCAGTTTACAAAACTTATACAACAGAGCCGTTATGAGTAAAAATAAGCAAGCAGTACGTATTACACCTTCTATTTATTAAAACATTATATTATTCAAATGTGATACTCACCCATGCAATTATCACAGTGACATGACACTGATCATCAATATGCCAGTTAATTAAGAAATGATAGTATTAAATGAGCTTTATATGGAAGCTGATATTCATGGATAAGAATAAATATGTCCATTTTGCAACATTCCAGATTAAATTTAGTGTAGCTCACTATTTTTTTCTGCATTGTACCTGTAACCATCCTTATATTGCAATTTCCTTATGATACTCTTCTTACATTTTGTATATGGTGCAAACCATTCCCATCCTAAGGTCTTGTCTGGTGTTAGACTGTAAGAAATACTTGTGCATTCCTTCTTATTGGTGTTAAAACTAAGTCAATTGGCATGGGCCATAGCTAGAGAACTAAATTGGGAGAGGGAGGTTTGTTTTTTCATATATTTATTTGAGCTTGACTGATTTCTTTAGAAAGCCAAATCATTTTCAAAAGAAATCAGTCTGACTCTACTGAATATAAGAATAAAGACACCTCCTCCCATTTATTGTTTCAGCTATGGCTCTGCAATTGGCTACTAAACAACTATGTTTATGAAGGGCATAACATCTTCTAACAAATGCACTGAACAAAGTTTGATATACAGGTTTTTATTTTTCTAAATCTAGAGAATGTAGTTTGTAAAGAGTTTGACAGGCTGAAGGATAATTATAGAAGATGCATTAAAAAGCGAGAGTTGGCGACACGATCAGGGAGTGGGGCAAGTAAGAAATTGCCAACTTGTGAATATTTCGTTGAGTTGTCCTTTTTGCATGATGTGATGACTGGATGAAAAACTGAAACCAACATCCCAATTGAAATTGCCGAGAATCCTGATGTGCTCTCCACTGATGAGGATAGACCATTTACATCATTTTCACCAATCACTGTGGACAATTCCCATGCAAAACTAGAAATTTCAGACTCAAAACCTCTTCAAAAGACTTGGAAAAGGCGATCAGATCAGATTGACGATCTTTTGGCCTTAAGCCTTGCCAATGATATAGCATATGCTAAAAATGGTGATTCAAAAAAGACAACTAACCCAGAAGACCAGGACATTCTTTTCTGTTCCAGTTTGGTTACTACCTTTAGGAATTTGACTGGAAAGAAAAACAAATTGGCTAAGATCAAAGTATTGCAAGTTCTTGCTGAGTTTGAAGATGATGACGAAATGTAACAGAATGTTTTTCCATAAACTTTTCAAGAAATTTATTGTTACAAATAACTTTACGTTTGCATGCGTTAACTACCACGTTATGTTATAAAACAGTGACAAAACTAATAAATGATTCTTTGATTTAGTTAATCGTCGTTTTGAAAACAATCTACTGTAGCATGTACTGCGTTCCACTGCCAGCGTACTTGTCCTTTTGGGGACATGAAGTAGTTTTAAAATTTTCTAACAAGCTTTGCATCACGAGAGTAGTTGTTTGACCCAGCGTTGCTGACATCTCTTAAACCCTCATCTGATTGTGTCACTTTTCTCCATTCTCCAAGCTCTCTTCCGTTTTCTGTGTCGTTGTCCACGAAACCAGCTGGACAGTATTTTGTGCTGTGCGAAAAGACCTTTCAGCCATAAGATAATTGTGCAGAGCGATTACTGCTTTTGTAACTTGAATAACCATTTCAACTCTGGCGTGAATTGGTCGACGAAATACCCGAAATCGTGCTGCTACAATTCCAAACGCATTTTCAATTACCCTCCTCGCTCGAGACAACCGATAATTGAATACCCGCTCAGATATTCCCAAGGCTTGTCTAGGGTACGGTTTCATGATATTTTGCTGTAACTGAAACGCCTCATCTGCCACTATGACAAATGGATAGCATTTTTGAGTGGAAGGAAATGCCTCGGGCCTAGGGATGCCTAAACTGTTTTTCTTAATTGATTCACCCATTGTACTGTAAGAAAATACACCACCGTCACTATTCCGTCCTGAGTCACCAATATCAATGTTATAATTAAAGAACATCGATCCAGAGTTAGCTGGTGCCTGCATCACGACGTGTTTTCCATCAAGCGCACCAATGCAGTGTGGAAAATTCCATTTAATTTCAAACCCCTGTGCTATGCACTTCCACTCTGCCTCATTGCTTGGACATTTCATGAATACCAATGACAGTACTTTCCACAGTGCTTCACATGTTGAAAAGATGATTCGTCCAACAGTGGTTGGGCTCATTCGAAAGTTCATCCCTATGGTTGTTTGAGAATCTCCTGTAGTTAGATACCTGAGTGTTACACAAAGTCGCTCACTAGGCCCTATACATTCCCGAGTTATGCAAGACTTCTGTATCTCTGGAGCAATCATAGTCAAAAGTTCTTCATATTGAACAGGAGTCATACGAAAATATTTGAAAAAAAATTCTTCATCAAATAAACGTAAATCTTGGACTAATAAATAGAATTCTCCTTTAGTTTTGCGTTCTTGAAATATTTTTCGTACCCATACTGACTTTTTATTTTATTTCCTTTAGTCATCCTTCTTTTAACAAGAAAAGAAGTGTGTTTTACTGACAACCGCCATGTTATGATTATAATCAAAATTCGCGCCATGCTTCGTTTCTGTACGGTTCGTTAAAACCGCCAAAGTGGAGAATGTAACACGTATATGCGTACGATACGCTACGTCGCGTTTTGCTACGTTACGCTACGGTACGGTCGAAGTGGAGATCGGCCTTTAGTTTTCCAGGTATATCCTTATATTGAGGAAAATTACTAATTTTACCCTCTGAAGCTAGACAGTCCATGAGTAAACCGTTGTCCATCTTGGATACACATTGGTCTTGGAGTTCCCTCAAAGTCCTGAAGTTCCCGCCAAGATTGAATTCAGGAAGCTCTTTTACCTGCGAAACAAAATAACACTCCAAAATTAAAGGATGACTAACCAACAATCAAAGGAAACGATGGAACTATCATAACATTCCTGGATTAAAGGATAGTTAACCAACTATGAAAAGAAAGGAGGGACATGATAAGATTAAGTCCCCAACTAGCATAGGAGAGAGGGGGATTATGATGCAAAGTTAGAAGATAAAGACAAAAATAACATTGCATTCAACATGGAGGTTTTGATTTTAATCTCCAATTTTCATTGCTCATTATATCAAATAAAATTACATGACAACAGTTCACTAAGATCAAGTGTACACAACAAAATAAAAGTAAGAATGGAGAGCTTACCGATAATGAAGACAAATGAAGACGCCGTCCACCGACGACCCTAAAACCATATCATACAAGAAACATTAAGCAACGAATCCAGCCCGTTTTTTATACCTACAATGCAAACAATTTTGTCAAAGTTGCTAGTAAAACAACGAATGGAATTAATTTTCAAAAGAAAAAAAATTTTGCTGAAAAATTTGCATTGTATAGGCAAATGTCCGGGCTGGTTTCGCCAGTGGAAACATTCAAAATTATTAAAGACCCAAAGAGCACGCCATTTAAAAAATACATTTCAAACATCTTTTGCATTTAAACGAAAAGACAAAATAAACAAAAAAAATGTCATTTTAAAACAAGAAACTAAATTCCTTACTTCGTTGTTAACGGTAAATCATTGGAATCACTACAAAACGCTTTTTGATGACGAACATGAGGTAGATTGTAGATATGACGTGTTTCTTTAACATAATTTGGTGAAGGAGGCATCATTGTTGGTCTCCAAATCTTCAATTCATAACTACCGTCTGCCCGGGATGTGTTGATGTTTTTGATTTTTGAATGGGGTTCTTTTTGGTTTTTATATACTTGGTAAGAACTATCTTTATTAACATATAGTTGATTATAACCATCACTTTCCTCAAATACTTGACGACAACCATCATTATCCACAGCTACCTGATTACAACCATCATTATCCGCATATACTTGATTATGAACATCATTATCCACAGATTCTTCATTACAACCATCATTATTCACAGACACCTGATCAAAACCATCATTATCCACAGATACTTGGTCACAATCATTATTGTCCACAGATATTTCATAACAAACATCATTATCCACAAAAGCGCCTTTAATTTGTTCTTTATTGTGTAAATCACACGATATTTCCATGTTTGAAACATCACAAACAACTTCTTCACCCTTTATTACATTATTCTTACTAAAACATTCCCCAGTCCTTTCTAAATTTAAGTCACTGACCTCGGTAACAACAGGAACTGTACTACTATCAGGACTTCCGAGGTTATTACTCGTACCGGAAGACTGGTGACCGTCAAATGACTCATCAAGATTCCATTCAAAGCTTTCCTCATCTGGTGGAAGCCTTAACACCATAGAACTTCCACTAGAGCACCCATCACTATAATGACTGTACAAAGGATGTTTTTCATCGGTCAAACACAAAGATTCCGAAGGTGAATCAATAAGATTTTCACTTTTAGATTCACTACACACAGATCTGTGATCAACATGTTCCAAGTATTGATCAAAATTCTTTTCAGTTTGGTTTGGTGTTAAGGCAAACAAATCATCTTCAAAATCCAATTCAACATTCCTCGAGCAATCTTCCACAACAAAATCATTAAAACCATTATCGTTGTCACTATTTAACGACTCCAATACTGAAGATATAGTGTGAACACGGCGATCTTTAGTTGTTTTTGTTTCAAGAGAGTTGATAAAATCTTTATTTACGATATCACCGCACGATAAAAACACATTACTTTCGTCGATAAATGTGATTTGAAAATCCCTCAATTTCCCACAAGATTTGTCAACCTTATCATTCAGGGTGATATTATCCTCAATAAAGTCAGGTTCATCAAAGGACTTCTCAATCCTTTGAAGTTCATGCTTATCCACATCTATCATACATTCCTTACAAGATACGTTAATAGAGTCAGCAGACGCGTTTTGTAGAAAAGAAGAAAATGAAGGTGTGTTTCCATAACCAGAATGATTTTTCTCAACTAAAGTATTCTTCTCATAGCTTTGCAATGATGTAAATTTATCTTTCATATTTATAAAATCTTCCATATCTTTTAACTCTAAATCTCCATCATTTTTGTTCTTTCCACAATTAACAACATCTTTAGGATGCTCCACAATTTTAGACGACGTTTTAAATTTTAAATCTTCAACAGAAATCTTCTCCAGCCGTACGCAAGCATCCATTAAATCTCTTTGAGAATTTTTTCTGTTTCGCATTTCATTGTTTCCTAAATCACAATCTCTGCGTTTTTTATTATCATTTTCCTCACTCCGACAATCAACGACTTTAGCTTTCGTAGATTTTTTCTTAGGACGTTCACGCTTCTTCTTTTCTTGAAAATCATCATTATAACCACCATGTTTCTTTGCAATGGCGTTATCCTCATTTCCTGTTTTGTCACCTCCGTTTTCTCGCAGTATCGTGAGTTTTCATTGTACTTTTGGACAGCGTTATCCTTACATAAACTTATTTGATTCATCCCAGAACTTTTACTAAATTCTTGCAAACATTTTCATTTTGAAAAGTTATCAAATCACCACGATATTTTCCGTCCATTTGTAAGACATCTTGACTTGGATTTTTCTCAACAATTGAAGACACTTCCGCGTCGCGTTTGACATCATTTCTATTCAAGTCAATCGATTTCTTGTTAAGAGAAACAGCATTATGACAAGATGAACTATCGTCTTTGGTCACCACTTTTTCAGTTTCATTTAAAGTAAACTGTAAACAGGGAGACTTTTCTGATTTTCTTGTTCCTTTCAAAATATTTGTAAAACTATTTCCATATAAACAAGATTCTTGTCCTAAAGTTGAAGTTGTGCTCGGGCCATGACTGTCAGGATCAAATAAGTCAGAGAGATTTTTCTTACAAGACACAGAACTAGTTTCCATACATTCATTTGAGCAAACATTTGATTTTTTCGACATAAGTTTGGTTCTCGTCTTCAAATTATTTTTCCCACATTCATTCGCCTCATTTATGCCAAACGAGCCTTGAAATACTTTATTTTGATGAAAATTTTTGATGAAAGTTGCTTTAAAATCATCATCATCGTGATCATCACAAGAACTTTCGCTTAACCAAAGTTCAAAATCTGACGTTTGAGATCCACTAGAATCGTTCTCTGTACAACGTAAAAGTTCTCTGACATTTTTAGAAACGCCAAGATTACGGGATATCTCATTTCCTTTCTTTAATCCAGACATCTTGTTCTTTGCTTTTGATGTTTTTTTTAAATCATTAGAAACAGTTTCTTTATCCATCATCTTCACGTTTTTCATTGTATTTGTTTTAGAACCCATAGAATTACTCTTCCCAGATCGCCCTCGTTTATTTGATGGATAAAATGAATGGAAATCAGGGAATTCTTCATTAACATTGTTCTTACTTCCTCGAAATGGACTTGTTGGTGTCATCGTTTCTCGACGTTCATTGGCATTCGTCATCATTTGCCGAGAAGAAATGTGTGTTGATGTATCAACGTCATTTTGAGTTTTATGACAGCCACCAAACACATTAAGTTGAGCAATTTTTCTTTTTCTTCCACCTCGTTTACATTTCTTTAAATTTTTACTTTTTGATTTTTCTTTACTTTGAAAATCATTGTCGTCGTCATACTCGATTTTTATTTTCCAATTTTTATCCTTAAAACCACGTGATACAGTTGTACACGTGCTACCATGTCCTGCAGAGTCCTCATCATCACCAGGACCATCCACTTGAGGCATAGGCAAAGGTGGTTTCCAGTCCATTTCCTCTTCATCCTCCGAACTACAAGTGAAGAAGACAGCTACTCAAAACTTTAGAGAAGATTGATTGTTTTTCATTTAAGATGTTTACAGTGTTTGTACAGGATTATGAAAAGCAAGGAGACCTTTGGGAGAACTCGATCAGTGATGACCAGAGTCAAAGGCTTGCACCTGCTCCAAAGTTCTCACAAAAGTCTCCGAGGTTTGCATAAGCCTGTATAAGCAATAAAAACGTCATTTCAATTTTTTATAAAACAACAATAATACAAAACAAACAAATTTAAAACTAAAGAAGTGTTGTACAGCTATTTGCAATTGACCGTGAGGCGTGGATAAATTAAACGTTTGTTAATAGTTTCAAAACTTAACGTTACTAACGGCTAACTCATTGTTGCTATGGCATACGCGTTAAGTCAGGGGTCTCCAAACTTTAAAGTCAGAGGGCCACATGAACTTTCATCCAGCATGTTGAGGGCCGACGGACCGTATACCGCTGGTCAAAAAGCGAATACTTAAATAAAACAAAGTACATAACGAAGAACATCATGAAGAAGTATTTTACACTCCACTCTTCTTAAAATCGCTGACATTCATCATCTACTTTTCTTTTTCTTTTATCGGCCATTATGAAGCATTGAAATATAAAGAATTTCCACGTCATCCTTCAGCTTTTTAAATTTCGCAATGCGCTTGAAACGGAAGTAGGAAGTTGGGACAAAAATTGACGTAAGCCACTCTTGCTAGTTGGCTTGCGTCATAACGTGAACTTTCTGCATAAAGTTTATTTTGTTTAATAATATTATTATTTCTTTAGTGCCTCTGCGGGCCGGATTGAGAGGCCCAACAGGCCGCATCTGGACCACAGGCAGTAGTTTGGAGACCCCTGCGTTAAGTTATGGAAAATATTGTTTTTATTTAATAAACAACTGTGACATGCCGCAATTTGGCAAGTATGGAAAGACGTTTCAAAACGTAACACTCTATCGTTAGATATAAAACTTTAAGTTGGTATTGGTGAGACACAATTTGTCTTTGTCGTAGACTCGGAGAGCGACACTTTGTTATTAACCAATGCTATCTCAGGGTTACGCCTTAGCAACAATAAGTTAGCCGTTAGTAACGTTAAGTTTTGAAACTATAACAAACGTTTAATTTATGCACGCCTCACGGTCAATTGCAAATGGCTGTAATTTTTCCTGCAACATGTATTCATGATTGATTTGGAAATTCTCTTTGATTGATTTTAGTTCATTGAGCTCAGATATATTTACACAAGCTAATGGTAACTCAGCTGTAAACAAATCAACGCACACCTTTTAATGTTTTTATTTTATAAACAAAAATGGATACTTTTACCTTTGGGAATCATGTTCCTCTTCATCATCTTTCCAAAATGGCTGTGACATTAATATTGATTCTTTATCTTCATCAATATCTTCATCATGTTCATCATCACTACCTTCTGAAGAAACAATAACATAAAAAGGATTGATTGAAAAACTTCATATAAGACAAGTTTTACTAAACACAAATGGAACTGTACAAAATCACCATTGATATCCACGAATAAATATGGTAGTTTTGATCTCAATACAATATTCATATAAAGCCATCATCAGAGAATATATATAATATAACACGATTTTAATATACACATGAAAAACATGTGACTTGGACGAGATTTGAACTCGCACCTTCGGCATACTTGTCTGCTGCTCTACCTATGCTCTACCTCTCGTCCATACGCAGTTTAAAAGAGATTTGACTCGTCTCCAATCCCTGTGGGCTTGGTAGCTCAACAGGTAGAGCGACAGACTAGTATCCCGAAGGTGCGCGTTCAAATCTCGTCCAAGTCACATGTTTTTTCATGTGCATATTAAAACCGTGTTAGGATTAATATATTATATGTTCATATAATGGAGTGTTCAGTCTTACTTTGTGAGCCCGCAATATGAGAACATTCATGCAGCAGTGTTTCATTGTCATCCTTATCCAAACTCATTAAAATTTCCACCAATTCTTTATCCAATTCTCCAGCTAAATAAATGTCTCATATTAATAAAAATTTGAACCCTTTAGAGTGAAAGAATTATTTTTGGTGAACAATACATGAATTGCTGGCCTGGCTGGCTTGTAGTACATCTATAACTGACTGATCAATAACTGGACTATCCACATCCACATCTAAAATAGAAGAAAATAGAAATATTTTACAGTATGATTATAACTTAAAATAAGTTAAACAAAATTCATCAGAACCTTGGCTTATTGTTGCTTCACACTGTGGTTGCTTGCCTTGTGACAAAATAGTTTGAGAAAATTCTTTAAAGTCTTTGGGTGAAAGAGATTTTTCCATTATCTCCAACTCACTTTGACTGCAAGTTTATTTGAAATTCATAAAAATATAAAGTTAAATCATTAAACATCACAAGATCAAATCTTACATCACTTTATTTCTTTCATCAATAATTTCTTTGATTTTTTCTTTAAATTCTTTCTCAAGATTCAATTCAGGTGTTTCAACACGATCTAACAATAAAAAAGTTAAATTTTTATGTACAGTGTTAACTATAAAGTAAACAAAAATTAATAAAGAAAAAGTTGAACACATCTTTAACAAAACATGAAATTTTATGGACTATAAAACAGCATCATTCTGAGATGAACACTTCACAGCAGCTGAATGCCATAACAATATAAAAGGCATGAAATGTATTGTGAGCTATACAATGATGTGACATGTATTTTTTTTCTACCTTACCTTGTGAAACAGGAAGAGCAACTTGTGAAGATAGTCCAATATCTCGTCTTCGTTGTCTTTCATCTTCCCACATAGCAGTTATACCAGGATTATGACCAATACAGCCTTCATAAACATAATAAACTCATTAAAGATGTATAAACAGTAAAATGAAGACATAAAGATAAGTAAATTTTACTTTCAACATTTATTTGATTCAAGACGTCTTCAGCAATTACATCAACTTCAAGTTCACAACGACTGACTTTTTTCACAGTAGGATCCAGGCATAAATTTCTAAATAATGACAAATAACAAACATTAAAATGATGAATATCAACTGTAAAGATAGTTATCACAAAGAATCATTCCAAAATTAAACTAATTTTTAAATGTAAATTCTGTAATCTGGATTGAGCATTGACTCTAAATCTTGGGATAAATCATACACACATGTGTCAAATTTAGGATTAAGGATTTACACAAATCCTTTGGTTTCAATTAATCTTCAAGTGTAAAATATATGAATCAGACAAACCTAGGAATAGTGTCTTCATTCCAGTGTTGAGATGAAGGAAAATTGAGAAATGAATTTGGAGATGAACCATGAAGTGGAATTGATTTATTATTATATGAAAGATTTTTATCTATAAAATTCAATTTGATGGTAAATAATCATTTGTGGTGTTAGATTTTTATAGAATGCTGAAAAATCAATAATGAAACTTTCCTGTTTTTGAAGAAATTCCTCTAAAATGAACTTTTCTTACATGAAGTAAGTTCATACCATAAAGATTGTAATCAATTAGAAACTAAAATAAACGATATTTCAATATAATTCTTATAATGTAACTTAGTGAAAATCTATAGAAGTTGACCATCCAGGTAGGAAAAGACTAAAGAAGGTCAGTGGCATTAGTGTTGAATGACATTTTAACATTGTTACCAGTAATCATCTCATCTAGATGTGAAAACATCAATCAAGACTACCCCAACAGTCCTTCTCAATACTGTAGTATCCTTTATGATCAACATCAACAAACATGCAGCTATACTTCCACAATGTGTTCAAACCATTCACTTTATTGACAAAATGTTTTGCACATGAAATTTACAGCTATAATCCATAATGGAATGTTTTATTGGGCACCTGAGATCTGATGTATAATTATAGCAAAGTGGGCACCTATACATGCAAATGTTGCATCTCTGATGTCGGTAGAAAAGTCAGCCCATTTTTACTCCTATGTACAATACAAATATTGCTTTAATCAATTACTTTGAAAACAATGAATGAGATTAATTTCTAAAGAAATAAACAACAAACTTTGCAGGCCTTGCCCCCTGTCTGGTGCACAGTTTACAAACTAACCACTCCAGTCTGGGTTATAACAATCAAAGATGTGTTTTTCCTCATTAATAATAAAAAACAATAATTACCTGTAGAATATAAGGAACATGAGCTTCGTGTGGTTGAAATGACTTGTTCAATATAGCTCCATTCTGAAGAAGATCAACAAGTCTGAAAAAATGAAAATTTTGATGTCGTTTTATGTTAGAACAACATGAAAAATATATCTTACTTGGGAATTATTCTTGGATTGTACAACTCCATCTTAATAAACTCTTCTTCGTTCTCATGATAACCATAAAATGGTCTAAAAATAAAATCATTTTGGGTGAATAATATTGAAACGTTATTGGGTCGAAAATGGAAGATTTTGTATTGTGATGTAAAGAAAGAGAGTAAAAAGATTTAATAATAGTAAGCTTTGTCAACAGGACGAGAAAACAAGGAAAACAACTTACATTTTTTTAACAATTTCAGTTTTATGAACATATTTCATAGAAGATGATGTTCTACCAAACGCAACTTGAACAGCAAAGTCTACACTTGTCGTAAATTGTTTCAGATATTTATCTGTGGGTTTAGTTCCATCGTAAGGTATGTATAAGTAAGGAAATACTTGATGAATATGAACACAAGTTTTCTGTCCACCAGGAGTTGAGCCAAATATCCTCAAAACTGGAACACGGTTAACATTCGCCTCGCGAAATTTAGAAAACAAAATATCTAAGCCATCTATAGGTTTTCCCACGTAAAATCTGCATCTACAATCCTAACAGAAAACATTCTGTTGTTCCAAGTAAGAAAATATATCGTCAATTAAAATTTTGAAAGACGAAAGACGAGAGTTGAATCCGCCATATTTGTTTTAGATTATAGATTAGCCAATCAAAGATTTTAAAAGCAAACTATAAACCAAGTCATCGTAATCACCTTTTTGGGATTAGATGGGATAAAGGCCTCCCTCTAACCTCTAAGTTAACACTGTCCTCAAACAAATGCTGCAATTAAGAGTCTTGGGAGTGGGGAGCTTACCAAGCTAAAGCATGTAGGCCCACAATCTGAAAGGCCCGCTTTTCGTAGTTATTGTAAAGAAAAATCCGACATTATAAGTGATAAAATTATGCTTTTGGTTAAAATCCATTTAAAGATTTTATTTATTGACATGTCACCAAGAAGGATAAATTTATCATGACAATATCACGACATCCTCACAATTTTGACAGAAGCACTGCTATTTAAGACACTAAATTTACCTCAGTAATGCTGTAATTACTTTGAAAGTCGTCCTTACTAAACTAGGTGAAATTTTCTTACAAAGAAATTATAAAATTAACTCCAAGGATTTTAGCAATAGCTTTGTTTAAGTAAACAATAAAAATAATGGTTTTCCTGTCGTAACTAACTTTAAGAATTATGGAAAATCACACTTCAGAAACACTGGTAATCGTTATTGACGAACTCCGGATTTAGAAATTTTGGGCATGACTTTATAGACCTCGCTAGAAAGGCTCACGCGTTTGGCGTTAGAAAATATGATCCCCAGAAGTTCATGTCTTTCTTCATGTCTAACTACGACATAGCATGGAAAGGATTTCCGCCTTCGTCGAGCAAAATAATGTCCGCATCCTGATGTTTTGGTCCCGTACACCCATGTCAATACTGAAAATTAATAATAGTTAAATGTGTACAACATTTATGAGTTGATTGAGTTGAACTGAAATTGAATTTGCAATAAAATTTCTAAATCAAACCCTGTCGTATATATTTCAATTATAGCTAAAATATAAAATATGGCCATCACATTTTATCGTCTCGCTGTTATGAACAGAATTCAATATTTTACAATAAAAACAGCAGGTGATTAAAATCAAGCATTTATTGAACATTCCAATTTCTTTATTATCAAGAAAAAGCAATGACATCATGTAGATGGTTGCATCTTCTTTAATCTTTCTAAAATTGTTAAGGTATGTTTATTATAAAGTTCACCTTTCATAGTGTCATAGTTTGTTTTATGTCTAGAATTTCGTTGTATTCTGTCATAAAAACTGAATGTCATTTTCGTGGTGGAATTCTCACTTCAAATGTTTTATATTGATACGTCTGTTGATTTTAGTGGGATTTTCCCAATAACACATTGGATAATTTATCATTTTAAAATACTGACATTTCTTACATTGTCAACAACAATTAATTTCACTAGTCTTTTCAAATATCATTGGTACGGCAGGGCTAAAAATCAACAAGATGAATCAAAGTTATGACACGTCACAGGATTTCAGTTATGCATATCATTATGTGCAATAATTTTAATTTTATCTAACATGGCATTTATCAAGAATAAATTTTTTCCTCATTCATAAAGTCATCTATCTATTTATCTTATTCCTAACACAGATGATGACATAAAACGTTTGGCTAGATATGTCTTTAGAAATTGCGCCTACTTAAAGTGAAAAGCTCACTTTTTCACGTGATGGTACACGTGATTTTTTTCTGGCTTATATTTGTTCCACTTGTTGTAAGATAGACTATTTAAATTATTTTTTTGTGTCAAAAGTTCACAAAATGACAAACTTTGCATTATTAACTGTCAATTAACTATAAATTAGTGCCACGTATGTTTTACATGGATAAATTTTTTCTTCATGGTGGGATTTTCAAACACAGATAAATTTTTGATACATTACACGTGGAAAATACGACTTTCTCACGTCAATACCAATTTACTCTAATCGTCATTTCAAATTACATTAATACAGCAAAGTTTATTAAATTAATGTAATGAGTGAAAATAATGACACGTCAAAGAATGTTAGCTGTGCATGTCATTATGTGCAATAACTTTATTTTACTTTTTTAACATGACTTTTATCATAATGTGAACATTTTATACAATATAGAACTAGAATATTCACATCGAAAGAGAGTATGAAGTTTATTATCTAGATGTTTACATTTCGCAAATTTTGCGTTAGATATCTATGGAACAATTATTGCTAAATTTGCATGATCACTATTTTTGTTCTTTTTGTGTCTTTGTTGAAAGGCATTTTGATATGAATAACATATGCTGATATTGATTGACTTTTTAGACAATTACAAATCAAGTTTAGATAATTTAACGTTGGAAAACACTGAACTTTCCAGCATCATCGCTAGCAATGCGATGTAATCAGTCAAATATTCCGATGGTTCAATTCAAATATTATTCATACAACAGGTCTGAAAATTCATCAGGTGTGTCAAAATAATGACACGTCACAGAATTTCAGTTATGCATATCATAAATGCGGAATGATTTTAATTTTATCTAATATGGCTTTTATCAAGAAATTTTTTCCTCATTCACAAAGTCATCTATCTATTTATCTTATTCCTAACATAGATGATGACATAAAACGTTTTGCTAGATATGTCTTTAGAAATTGCGCCTACTTAGATGAAAAGATCACTTTTCACGTGATAATACACGTGAATTTTTTCTGGTCTATAATTGTTAAACTTGTTGTAAGATAGACTATTTAAAATATTTTTTGCGTCCAAAGTTCACAAAATGACAAAACTTTGCATTATTAACTGTCAAGTCCAAACGCTATCAATTTTAAAGTATCTCAGATTACTGAGATGTGACAAATTAATCAAAATAGAGACTTCCAGATTAATTACTTTGAAATTCAATTTTAAATAAAGACTGCCCCTAAAATCTTGAGCCCCCAACTTTTACTTGCTTCCTGCCCGTAATCAGATTATTTGTTTATCCGGATCAAAGTTTACAAAATGACAAAACTTCATTGACCACGTTTCAAAGTTGGAACGCTGTCAATTTAAGAGAAGCTCTTTATCGATTTTCTTAACTCTTCAATTATAGATCTTTAATTTTTGAGCTATCTTACCTGTAAAGGCTGGCTACCACGTTTCTTTATAATTATTTCAGTTAGTTTGCGTGTATGTCAGGATGTTCAATAATTGAAATAAATGATAGTAAACTGTGAAAGGTTTGTCGGCATAAAGCTTTTAAGTCAAAACTTCTTTGTGTTTACTTCAGAAATAGCTAAAATAAGAAATTTCCATTTCATATTCTATTGGATATGACCAGAATTTAATATTTTACAATAAAAACAGCAGGTGATTAAAATCAAGCATTTATTTAACATTCCGATCTCTTTATTATCAAGCAAAGCAAACACATCATATAGTTGGGTGCGTCGTTTTTAATCTTTCTGAATTTGCGAAGGTATGTTGATTTTAAAGTTTACTCGCTTTATGTAATGGTGTTTTAACATTCTGATTTAATGTTTTGTGTCCATGTATCAATTTTTTCCTTTTGATGTCACGAACATTTAGTTAAATATAACTTATAAATTAGTGCCACGTATGTTTTGTATGGATAAACTTTCTTCATTTTGGTGGGATTTTCAAACACAGATAAATTTTGATACATTACACATGGAAAATACGACTTTTCTCACATCAATACCAATTTACCCTAATCGTTTATTTCAAATTATATTAAACAGCAAAGTTAATAAATTAATGTGTTGAGTCAAAATAATCACACGTAAAGAATGTTAGCTGTGCATGTCATTATGTGAATAATTTTACTTTTTCTAACATGGCTTTTATCATAACGTGTAAAACATTTTATACAAAATAGGAGCAGAATATTTATATCGAAAGAGAGTATGAAGTTTATTATCTAGATGTTTACATTTCGCAAGTTTTGTTAGATATCTATGGAACAATTTTTGCTACAAATTTGCATGATCACAATTTTTGCGTTTTTGTGTCTTTGTTGAAAGGCATTTTTGATATGAATAACATTTGTTAATATTGATTGATGTTTTAAAAATACAAATAAATTTGAGATAATTTAACGTTGGAAAACACTGAATTTTCCAACATCATCGCTAGCAATACGATGTAATTACTCAAATATTCCGATGGTTCATTTCAAATATTATTCATACAACAGGTCTGAAAAATCAACAGGGTGTGTCAAAATAATGACACGTTACAGAATTTCAGTTATGCATATCATAAATGCGGAATGATTTTAATTTTATCTAACATGACTTTTATCAAGAAATTTGTTCTTCATTCACAAAGTCATCTATCTATTTATCTTATTCCTAACACAGATGATGACTTAAAAACGTTTTGCTAGATATGTCTTTAGAAAGTGCGCGTACTTAGAGTGAAAAGCTCACTTTTTCACGTGATTTTTTTCTGGCATATAATTGTTAAACTTGTAGTAAGATAAACAATTTAAAATATTTGTTTGCGTCAAAAGTTCACAAAATGACAAAACTTTGCATTATTAACTGTCAAGTCCAAACGCTATCAATTTTAAAGTATCTCTGATTACTGAGATTTGACATAATTAATCAAAACTAGAGACTTCCAGATTCATTTCTGTGAAATTCTATTTTTAAATAAAGACTGCCCCTAAAAACTTAAGCCCCCAACTTTTACTTGTTTCCCTGCCCTTAGATTATTTGTTTATCCGGATCAAAGTTTACAAAATCACAAAACTTCATTGACCACGTTTCAAAGTTGGAACGCTGACAATTTAAAAGAAGCTCTGTTTATTAATTTTCTTAACTTCTTGAATTATAGATCTTTAATTTTAAGGTGTCTTACTTTTAAAGGCTGGCTGCCCTGTCTTCCATTGTTATTAATTCAGTTAGTTTGCATGTAATCCAGGATGTTAAATTGAAAAAATAATAGTAAACTGTGAAAGGTTTATTGGCATAAAGCTTACAAGTCAAAACATCTTTGTTTTTACTTCAGTAATAGTTAAAATAAAAAATTTGCATTCATATTCTATTGGGTATTAACAGAATTCAATATTTTACATTAAAAACAGCAGGTGATTAAAATCAAGCATTTATTGAACATTCCGATTTCTTTATTATCAAGCAAAAGCAAAGACATCATGTAGTTGGTTGCATCGTTTTTAATCTTTCTGAATTTGAAGGTATGTTTATTTTAAAGTTTACTATCGTTTACCTAATGGTGCATTTTAACTTTCTGATTTAATGTTTTGTGTACATGTATCAATAATTTTGTTTTGATGTCACGAATATTGTAGTTAAATATAACTTATAAATTACTTCCGCGCTATGTATGTTTTATATGGATAACATTTCTTAAGTTTTGTGGGATTTTCAAACACAGATAACTTTTGAATGATTTACACTGTGAAACTACCGAACTTTTTCCACATTAATACCAATTAAACAAGATATATTTACAGCATTAGTGTTTAGTGCAAATGTTATCGATGTATTTTTGCTTTATATAACTATGGAATGATCAATTGTTAAAGATTTTCATGACAATTTTATGTGCACACTGCATAGAAATTTCAATTCAACCGAAGATGAATTTCATTCAACAACTATAGTTAATCACTCTGCTGTATTTTTCGGAAACAACTTATACAGTTATTCAAATTGAATAATAACTATCGTTCTTATCTGTTTAAATAACACGTCGACGCTTGCTGGTAAAATTATAAAAGAGTATAATTAAAACTAACAACTTCCTCTCGTTATGTGTACAAAATATATTTATCCTAACACGGTTTTTTAAACACATGAAAAACATGTGACTTGGACGAGATTTGAACTCGCACCTTCGGGATACTTGTCCGCCGCTCTACCTGTTGAACTACTAAGCACAGAGGGATTGGAGACGAGTCAAATCTCTTTAAACTGCGTATGGACCGTTTACTGGATGGCACCGTGTTTTGACTTTATTTCAAAGCCATCATCAGAGAATATATATAATATATTAATCCTAACACGGTTTTAATATGAAATAAGAGTATATTTGAAACTAACAACTTGCACTCCTTATTTCTACAAGACCATGTGCTCTCTAAAATATGTATCAATTTACATATATGAATGACGTAATAAATGAACTATATATATATCTTTTAACTATTGAATATCTCTTCAAAACTATCATAATAACATTCCACTTGATGGTTGTGGGAGAATTTCTTAAACTAAATAAATAAACTTTCACTTTAAAGTTACATATTCCTTTTGTTGGACATCTTTATTTTTTGACGAAATCTTTCACGAACAAAATGATGACATATATCATGTGTTAGTCATCATTCATGCTCAGTCGAGATTGAACTCACCACATCTAAGGAAAACCGTTAGCAGCTATGAAAGATAGAGAATACTGGAAAGATGTGGTGAGTTCAATCTCGGCTGAGGCCGCAAGATGATGATGATGACTAAACACATAGATATATGTCATCATTTTGTTCGTGAAAGGATTTCGTCAAAGGAAATAAAAGTGGAATATTGTCCAACCGAAAGGATGATCGCTGACATAATGACAAAGGCATTGCCCAAGGCAACATTTGAAAAGTTTAGAAATCTATTAAATGTTTATTTAGTTTAAAGACGAAATTTCTCCCACAACCATCAAGTGGGAGTGTTAGAATTATGATAGTTTGCGAGAAGAGACATTCAATAGTTAAAAGATATGTATATAGTTCAGTTTATTACGTCATTCAAATATGTAAATTAATACATATTTTAAAGTTTTGTGTTTAGTACAGCTGGGGTGGCTTAGGTTTTTGGCCAACTTTAGCGCACCTTGGTTATCTTCAAAAATAATGATGGGCGTCTTCGTGTTTAATCCCAAATTGCTTAACAACATTCTCAACCAAATCGCTTCTTGCGTTCCTATGGACAATGCAACATATTCCGCCTCAGTAAAAGATTTGGCAACAGTAGCTTACTTCTTACTTGACCAACTCACTGTGTTTCCTCCCAGTTTAAAACGTAATCTCATGTAGATTTTCTCGAATCTAAACCTTCCGCCCAATCGGAATCTGAAAAATTGCTGACGGGTAATTGCTGATGAATATTTTAAGCATCCTATAGCTTGTTGATATGTCTGCACATCAACAAACCTTGTTTTCTTGCACTTCATGAAAATTCTTGCCATTTTTCATCAGTGTGGACATCGGTTTGCACAATTCCATACCAAATCTTGACAATATCTTTCCAATATAATTTCGTTGACTTATTGTTATTGTTTTCGCCTTGCGATCACGATTATTCAGTATTCCCAATAAGAATTAAGAAGTGAAATTCTCCACGATCCTCCATCCTGAATTTTTGGCATAGTGCTTGTTTTTCTGCATTAAGCATCTCGACATCATTGGACACTGGTAATATATCGTCGACGTAAACTCCTAGAATCACAAAATTAATGTGCCCCTTGTCCTTCTTTGCTGATTTAACATATATACATCCGTCTGCATCATTCTTTCGATAGCCAATTGATAATAGGTATTTATTAAGCATATCGTACCAACATCGAGCCGATTGCTTGAGGCCATAAATGCTTTTATTTAATCTGCATACGTGATTAGGTTTCCGTGGATCAACGAATTCATTTGGTTGCAACATATAAATTTCGTAATCTATATTGCCGTTTAGAAACGCTGTTTTGACATCCATCTGGCGGATTTCAAGATTCTTAGCATTTCCCATAGATAGCAGAGATCTAATTGACGTGTATTTGGCCACAGGAGAAAATACTTCTTCGTAATCTGTTCCTTTCGATTGTGAGTACCCTTTGCAACCAGTCTGGCTTTACATCTGTCAACGAATCCATTTTCATTCCTCTTACCTTGAAAACCCATTTGGAACCGATAATGTTCTTCTCTTTGATGGTGCATTCAATTCCCAAGATTTATTCTCCATAAGAGATGAGTATTCTTCTGTCATGGCATTCTTCCATAATTCTGCATGCTTTCCATTCAGTGCTTCATTAACGCTTTTAGGATCATCTATGTCTGAAATCAGTGATTCAGCAACTTGATATGCGTCTACACGAAATCAATGAAATTGATTCTTTCTCTTGTTTGTCTTAAATTCCGTACATCTTCCATAAATGAATCTTTGTATGTCTTACGAATTGGTTGTTCTACATTTTCTCCCACTTGCTCAGTATCTTCTGCTTGAGCATTGATCATCATTTATAGTCATCCTTTGTTGAAACTGTGTCGCTTGCTCTTCTGGATCAGTTGTATCAGCATTTTCGTTGGTTCCTTCATTCTGTTTTTCTTCTGATATTACATCTTCTTCGTCCATATGAACGACGGTATCGCTTAACATATCGACATTCCTCTGCTGTGATTGTTCAACAAAGGAAATTTGTTTTCAAATAATACTACGTCTCTACTGATTGCAAAACGGTTTCGGTTTAAGTCGAGTACCTTGTATCCCTTAGTGCCCGAGGGATATCCGACGAAGATTGCTTCGTTTGATTTTTGATCAAGCTTCTGACGATTACAGCTTGGGACGTGTACAAAACATTTGCATCCAAACACCTTTAGGTTTAAAAGGTCATGCTTCTCTTCAAATAAGCATTCAAATTGTGTTTTAAGCTTTAATGTAGCTGTGGCACTTCGATTATGAAGATAAATAGCAGTATTACAAGCTTCCGCCCAAAAGTTCAATGGCAATGCAGCAGTGTATATCATTGACCTGACAGATTCCAGCGTTGTACGGTTGAGACGCTCTGCCACTCCGTTCTGTTCTGGGCAATATGTGCTTGTGAATTCTTATTTATTCCTTCGTTAGCGCAATAATTGATGAAATCGTTTGATGTGTGTTTCCACCATTCTCACTGCTTGAGATCTTCACATGTCGTTTGTTTGAACTCTGGTTTTTCATATTATTAACAAATTCTTTAAACTTTGCGAGTACTTCACTCTTGCGCTTGATGAAATATGCAACTGCAAATCGTGAATAGTCGTCAATAAATGTTGCCATATATAGACTGCCTCCCTTCGATTCAATTTGCATGGGGCCACATACATCACTGTGGACAACTTCATATACTTTAGTATCTGTGTTGACTTGCTTGAGGAGAAGGATTTCTGTGCATATTTCCGCCGATGCATCCTTCACAATTGTTTGCAGCTTTCTCGTTTCTTCCATTATCCATTCCTTTCACCATATTTTTCTTTGATACAATACAATCATTTCTATCAAATTGGACTTTGGTTTCCATGGCAATCATTGCTGGTACGGAGAGTAGTTTTTTGCATGCTTTGGCACATACAACACTTTGTGCAACTCAACATGGTATAATAACTTTACCAGACCTTCACCAAGAGCATGTATCACAGTGTTGTCTCCTAAATATATTTTGGTTGGTGTTTGATATTCAACATAGTACACAAACAAATCCTTGTTGTGAGTCATATGCTTTGTTGCAGTGGAATCGATGAACCATTCATCAGAGGGTTTAATATTATGAATAAGAGCAACATCACTGCCTTCAATAACACATGAACTTCCTTCTTTCTTATTGGAACGGACAATTTCTTGCTATGTGTAGCACCTGGCGACATCTGAAACAGGTAGCATTTCCTCCCTTATTGAAACCACACCTTCTTTCATCTCTTCCCATGTTCCATCCTGATTTGCGGTGTTGTGAAATTTGTCCTCTAGGCCTTTCATTGACTTTTTGAAAGTCATGCCTTTTTCCTTGATTTTAGTTTCCCTTTTTTTCATGTATAATGTATTGTCTTCTTTCTTATCTTCTTTTTTCTCCTTACGTTTAAGATATTCCTCAATCAACGATCCTTTTATATTATCCCAATCCATATCTTCCACTTTTCTGGCGTTTAAATTAGTGACGAACTTCTCATACGACTCTGGTTGTCTACCTAATAGCACCATTGCGAATTTCTTTGACGGAATTTCCACATTCATTTCACGCAGTTGTTCTGCAAATGTGGTCATATATGCGATATGCTTCAGCAACTCTCCCCTTCTTCCATGCTCGCAGCGTAAAATTTCCGATTCAGTCTTACTATTTGTGTGACCGAGATAAATTCAAATTGAGGTTTTAAATTTTTTCATGCGATGAGCGGATCTGTGGTTCCAGAAATATTTATTTGTAAATGTTTTTCTAGATTTAGAGCTATAAGGAGTAGGCCTTATCCGACCTCAATTGAAATGCATTCTTCGTAAAATGTCTTTCTATTTTTCCTTTGGACCTTCTTTACTAATTTTTTGTTCTTTTGATATATTTAAATGTCTTTCGATGTCAAAGTGTATGTCTAATGGAAATAAAGCTAAAATAAAATTTTATGAAAAGGAGGCTTGAAGCCCCCAAAATTTCCCGTATGACATCGATTGTTGAAATCAACGCCCCAATATTGAGCAAAAGGTCTACTCAAGTAAACTCCCGCGTTGAGGGACGAAAACCTTTCTCCGCCTGGTCTATTTTTCTATGCGCAGTCGTTACATAAGTTTTAAACTTATGTAAACTAAAACTTATAAACTAAAATTGCTTCACTTTTCTTGACGACACGGTAAAATGACCATGGAGGCATACAAGTTATAACTTTTTATGAAGGATTTCAAAAACTTGTCTAACTTCCACAGAAACGCCTAAATGCAGGAAAACTTTAAACACAAATATTCAAAGGGTTGTTTTTAGCTACAACCTTCAGTAAACATTTTCATATAAAACTGAAAATTTACAAACTAATAATATTCAACAAATTTCAGTTTTCCATAAATTATGGTTAATAAACTATATCCATGTTCATCTTAATCCTTTTATAATCCGTAGATGGAGTCAAGAGAAGAAAGAAATAACTACTACATTCAGAAAATACTTTCAGATGTTGTTACGAAGAAACTTGTTGATTTATTTATCCAAGAGTGGAGCATTAATCACGGAGTATGGGATAATACAAAAGTTAGTGGTCAGAAGTTGGTCAACATTGAAAAACCAAAAAAGAAACCTTTAGACAAACATATTTTGTCAAAATTTCAAGATGGTGACACCAGTGAGTGGGATTGTACGACACTGTTTGCAGCGATATTGTATTCCAAATCAATTGGAACAAAACTTGGAACAACAACTAGATCTGCAGTTGATGCACTTCGTATTGTAAGAAACAAATTCACCCATGATAATCCAGGAAGAGTATCTGATACCGAATTTGACAAAATGCTTTGTGATATTGAAAAGTCATTTAAAGATCTAGCATTTTCATTCACTGAAATTAATGAAATTAAATGTCAACGAAACAGATTTAATTCTTTTCAAGTACTTCCTTGCAAATCAAATCACGATGTCGTTAAACGTACAGAATTACTTAATCAAATCACAGCAGATCTCAACAACTTGCGCAGTTCTAACAATAATGAACTAACATATTACTATATTTCTGGTAATCCTGGCAGTGGTAAATCACAATTAGCCAGACAAATTTACGAAGAAATGTATAATTCGTTTGACTGGGAAAATCAAACGACATTTGTGATGACACTCGAAGGAAAAGATGCTGACTCTCTTTGACAACTTATGCTGAACTTTATCAACGATTAAGCAATGATAAAACTGTCATTGAAAATATTTTAAAAGAAGCAAAAGCAGCGAAGACAAATCAAAGATTTTCAATTATTGCTGACACAACAACTGAAATCTTGGCAAACATGGTGGATTGTTGTAGATAACGTGGTTGAACTTCATAAAATTTATCCATTATTACCTCAAGTTGATGATCATAGTTGGAAAAATGGACAAATTATAGTAACTGTCCAAAATACAGATGCTATACCACCAGATGGAAATCTAAATAAACACATTTCAGTTAGTCATGGTATGAACAATGAAGAATGTCGACAACTTCTCTCTGTCTTTTATGATATTCATAATGAAGATGAAAAATATTTAAAGGATTTATCAGAAAAATTAAATCGTCAACCGTTGTTCCTGGCATATGCTGCTTCCTACGTAGGTAGAGTTAAAAGTGCAAATCCGACATTCACGTGGGAGCAATATTTTGATAAGCTGAATGTTGGAGAGCGACAGAACATGGATGGTAATTTTCAAAAAATAAACACATCTTACTTAGGAATGAAAACTGTTTTTTTAGCAGTACAAAAAAATGCTGAAGATTCAATCTTGTTGGAACATGTTTTTAAACTTTTCTCAATAATATCTTTCGATCCCTTACCACAAGATGTTATATTACCATTTATTAAAAGCATTGATCCACAAAATCTGCAGAAGATGTCTGTCTTCAATTAAAGCATTGTTCTTTATTCCTTCAAACGGAAAACAACGACATCCGCCTGCACAGCGTTGTACACGAAGCCATCATAAATTATTCATCGCAGACCTTTGGCTGTAAACAAAACGAAAATAATTCTAAAAAGTCTGCAGCTGATCTTGCCTGTCAAGTTGCTTGGGCACTAAATCATTTTGAAGACAGAGAAGATGAAATCAAAATAATTCCACATCTAATTAAATTCATAACAAATTCATCATTTCAACATTTCCTAAATAAGTTGATCGATGTAAAATCATTCTTTTTTTCATTAGAAAACAAAAACTTGATGAAAGAAATTGGAAATTTGCCAAATATTTTGTAGATGTTTTGGAAAGATTTTGCAACTATAAACTTGCAACTAAAGTACTTTATGAAATAACAGAAATTCAAACTAAAGTGTTAGGTGTTGATCATATTGATGTTTCATATTCGTACAACGAGCTGGCTGAGTTGCTTTGGAAGAATGGAGAATATGAAAAGCAAAAGATTTTTATGAACGAGCGATGAAATTCAAACAAAAGCATTTGGACCTGACCATGTTAATATTGCGACAACGTACAACAATCTAGGTTCAGTTTACAGAGGTATGGGAGAGTACGAAAAGCAAAAGATTTTTATGAACGAGCGATAGAAATTCAAGTAAAAGCATTTGGACCTGAACATGTTAATATTGCGACAACGTACAACAATCTGGGTTCGGTTTACAGAAAAATGGGAGAGGACAGAAAAGCAGATAGATTTCATGAACGAGCGATAGAAATTGAAACGAAAACATTTGGACCTGACCATGTTAATATTGCGACAAGGTACAACAATCTGGGTTAGGTTTACTTTAATATGGGAAAGTACGAAAAAGCAAAAGATTTTATGAACGAGCGATAGAAATTCAAACTAAAACATTTGGACCTGACCATGTTAATAATGCGACAACGTACAACAATCTGGGTTTGGTTTACAATATTATGGGAAGGTACTATAAAGCAAAAGATTTTTATAAACAAGCGATGAAAATTCAAACAAAAGCATTTGGACCTGACCATGTTAATATTGCGAAAACGTACAACAATCTGGGTTTAGTTTACAATAGTATGGGAAAAACCAAAAAAGCAAAAGATTTTTATGAACGAGCGATAGAAATTCAAACAAAAGCATTTGGACCTGAACATGTTAATATTGCGATAAGATACAACAATCTGGGTTCGGTTTACTTAAATAAGGAGAGTACAAAAAGCAAAAAGTGTTATGAACGAGCGATAGAAATTGAAACAAAAGCATTTGGACCTGACCATGTTAAGATTGCGATAAGGTACAACAATCTGGGTTTGGTTTACCATGAAACGGGAGAGTACGAAAAAGCAAAAGATTTTTATGAACGAGCGATAGAAATTCAAACAAAAGCATTTGGACCTGAACATGTTCATATTGCGACAACGTACAACAATCTGGGTTCGGTTTACAGAAAAATGGGAGAGGACGGAAAAGCAGATTTTTTTCATGACCGAGCCTATGAAATTGACAGAAAAGTAATTGGACCTGACCATATTATTATTATGACATCGTACAACAATAGTGGTTTGATTTACAATGATATGGGAGAGTACAAAAAAGCAAGACTTATGGAACGAGCGATAGAACTTAAAAGCGACGAGGAATGGTAATTAAAGCAAAAACATTTGGACCTGACCATGTTAATACTACGAGAAAGCAAGCACGTTGTAATTTACTATGATAGGAAAAACCCGAAAAGCCAACATAATAAAGTTTATAACGATAGAACTTGAAAGTGAAGCATTTGACCTCTATATTTATCTTTTATTTGCCAACAGCTAAAAGTCTTCCGTGTTTGAGAAACGTTTCACGAGATAAAGGAAGAAAAAAAGGACAAAAGACAATTGTATTTTCGGTTTAGAGCGATAGAAATTGAAAGAAAAGCATAGGTTCAAATAACAACAGTTGTATATTTATGAAAGGTATAACTATATTAATGACAATATTCAAACATTTGTATTTTCAAGTTTTCAACTGTCATTTATTTACTGGAACAGTTTTTATTAAGAAAATTATATGGAACTATCAAAGTATATTAATGAGTTTGGTTTACAATATCTAGCTACTCAGAAGTTGTGAAGTTCCATAAAATGAATGTTGTTGAATCATTTTCTTGTATAATGAGAGTAAATACTGATCTTTCAGCAATCATGATCATGTAACATCCCTTTTTGAAATGGTGAAAAGCCCACAAGATTTGCTTTGCTATATAAGTATGAATACAGTCTTTCCTATATTGATTTTGAAGTGTGATTTTATTGTGTTTTTGTTGTGTCATCTCTATCCTAATCAGAAAATATTTCTGAACTATTGTAAAGATAACAACATCGCAATGAAGACATAATTGAATTCATCTCTTGGCATAAGAAAGGTTAAACTCTTACCTCTTGGTTTATTAAACATTAAAAGTTCCGTACATGCATTAATTTTATGAATGGCTTTGAATATTACCTTTGACATAAAAAACAAGTTGAAGTTACAAAAAGTACAACTTTTGTGCCAAAGAAATTTGATGCGACTTTTTAAGTATGTATGGTATTTTGATTCAATCATTTTTTATCATTTTCGCGCACTATTTTGAACATAAACGACGCAGCATTTATTATAATGAAGTCAGATTAAGATTGTCTATTTCTGTGCCAAGGTATTTATAAACTTCCTTTATATTGTAAGTTCTCATCACCTAACTAAAGGATTGTATCACATTAGCCAAGTCGTTGAAATATATTAGGGATAACAAAGGGCCCAGAATAGAAACCTGTGGGTTTCCTGTGAGACTTTCTTCTTCCTGTGATATAACTCTTCATATTATAAAGCGAATATATAACAAAAGAGAGACGCAAAGGTATAGAAACTGAGGTAGACCCAAAGATGGACAAAAACATAGACAAAAAGGTAACACAAATAAAGGCAAAAAGATATACAAAAAGATACGCAAAAGATTGACAAAAAGACGAAGACTAATGGAAGCAAAAGGTAGACAGAAAAGTAGACGTAAAGACTAAAGTCAGACAAAAACATTACAATGTGCAAGGATTGTCGTTTCATAAAAAGATAAATTACTAATTTTTCATTTGATTTTAGACATTTGGACCAACAAACTGAAAAACAGTTGAACTTGTTTCGGAAGAAAAAGAATGGACGATATTAACCATTGTATCTAGCTAATTTTCAGGCTTTCTGACAAACATCCCCAGTTTCATGTCGACGACGACAAGCACAGAAGCAAGATTGGACATTTCTTACAACTGTGCATGCCGCACACGGCATGAAATTGAAAATATCGACTGCAGTAAGAAAATTAGGATTTTTATAATTTGTTTTTCTTGATAAAGATAAATTCCATGTTTTTATTCCACAAGATTTTCACATTAGAAAGTGTCGAAATTTAGGCGTTTGATAATGGCGTAATTTTATTCATCTGTAAAGAAAATGAAATTGTGTAAAGTTACACTAGCTAATTTAAACACCTGAGATAAACATAACTTTCTCATGAGTTCATTTTGTTGCTGTAAAAATCTTACCATCATAAATCGTTGGTTAAAAGTGACTTGTCTTTCGATCAATTGTCGAGACAAGAATCGTGATCTAAGAAAGACAAATGCTCAGGAAAACGTTTTAAAACAGCCAAAGGCCAATAAACTGCATTTGACTTGGAGACACTGGAGATTGAAACGTCGCTAAAGAACAAAATCTTTTGATTTCCCATTCATAGCTTGCCATGTTAACGGCCTGGTGGACTCAATATATATACGTCTTGTAAAATTACTGTCAAAAACAATGAAGAAGGAAAAAGATATTTACCATCTTAATATTTCCTCAGTTATAAAGCAGTTCAGACGAAGTAGAATATCAATTCGTAAATAGCTCAGCCTCAAGGGAATGGTGAACAAAAGCCAAATACGTTTTCATCGTGGTCAATAATCAATTTCTTTATTTATATAAGTCCTCCATCATGGTGAATTAAAACCACAAACATTTATTCTATGTTTCTCGATCGCATTAACAGAAAAATGTTCACGTCTAAAATAAAGCAAAGAATTAACATTAACAAAAACGAAAACTTTATAAGAAGACGTATATTTAGGTCACGTAGGTCACACATTTTGCATAAAGATATTAATGTCGTTTACATTTCACACTTCAATCAAAGAGAGAGTTCTCTCCTAACACGAATATCAAAAGTCACATTTACCTTAACATGTTATCGAAAAAGTCAAAAATAAATTTTGCTTTCGGCAAATATTCTTCGTGTATGTAGGAAGGTAGAGATTTAAATAACGCATTGACAGTTTGAGTTGATCTTAAAATATGCCCCAAGTAGGGGAAAGCGTGTGTTTTCTGATTGATCAGTTCTTAGGTGTGTACTTAATTCTACATGGTACACAAGTAAAAATGACTTGCTGCTAATTGCATCTCATTTCTTTATGTTTTTTATGAGACAACGCTTTAATTTTTTAAGGTTTGTTGCCTGCGTAAAGCCTGGTTCACATATGACTGAGACATGACTGAGGCATACCTATGACGATGCCTGCGTTGTTCTTAAGGCTAAATGTAAACACTCATCGCTGACACACTAATGATGTTTCAGACAGACGTAGGAGTTACCTGCAGTATACCGCTGAAATGCCGTAAAAGTTGAGTTGTGTTCAAGTTTCCCGGCATGTCGACGGCTAAACGGCGGTGTACGGAACATGTTTTGGTTATTTATGTTAAATGTTAACGCTTATCCGATAGACCGGTGATTTCCCATCATGCATTTGGGTAAAAGATGGCGGATGAATTTTCAACACAGGAAACATTATTTGCTTTTTAATTCATAGGTTAAAACGTTTTCAAAGGCAGTATTGAGAAATGTCTTCGACGAGGATGGGGGCATCACATTACTAAGATATAGTGTAATTTATATTTCCACTTTTTTATATACCATTCCCAAATTTTATTAATTTAATCGTTTGTTTGTTCAGAGATTTGATAGTAGACACCAATGTTCGATAGACTAGTGAAACGCAGGCAATAACGAGATGTTTTTGACATTATGCAGATACATAACATAAAAAATGTAAACAACAAAGTTGTAGTGGTTGTGTTGGCAAAACCTTGTTATGATGTTGTGTTTTGATACCCAACAGTTTGAGTTCCCACCCATTTTTGTCAGATTATATCAATCAGGCTTACATTAGAAAGTTTGTATACCAACTTGGAACAAACCCCCCTGAACAGATCACAGCAATTACCGGCACCTTACAAACGACCTATTCACAATACAAACAAACGATCAACTAAAAACATTACACTTCACACTAATTCACAATGACAATACACAATTGACACCCACACATTACAACTAAAAACATCATACCTAAATCACACATCACAACTAAAAATAAAATATTTCACTTCACACTAATTCACAATGACAATACACAATTGACACCCACACATTACAACTAAAAACATCACACCTAAATCACACATCACAACTAAAAACATTACACTTCACACTAATTCCCAATGAAAATACACATTTCCTGTACACACAATACAATGACGTAAGAACCAGATAACAAATACGGCTAACCTGACGTTTACTCCTCATTTGACACTGAAGATGACTACCGCTAAGGTTGTCGAAACGTCAGTCAACAACAACAAAAACAGTCCTTCTCTGGACTATACCAACCTGGACGATCTACATTTACAAACATGTAACGATACTCCCAGTATCAAACTATTTACTTTAATATAGATACAATTAATCAATACAAAGTTTGCGGGGCACGGTCTGTTACAATGGAATGGGGCGAGTTATCGTTTGTTTATACAATTTAAGTGATTTTTTGGGCCGTCTTTGGTTTAACCTCACAAAGTTAAATCTATAACAAATGTGCTTCGCCAAGAAAATACTCTAGTGAAAATGTGAAATCTCTATTTCATCAATATTTTAACGATGATAATAAACCATCAACGTTTGGTGGTTATATTGTTTACCTCTGACTGACCATAACTTTCTTCAATTGTTTTTGAAAGTCTCTTAATGTCATTCCATATTCCATATTTGTTTTAACTTCTCTAGTTTAAACATAACAGGACAATCCAGTGATGTACAGCTCAGTTGTTCATCTCTAGCTCCACAACACTGAAAACATATCTATAATATGAAAAAAAATTAAATGTCATGAAAAAGAAAAACCATAATTATTAGATTGTTTATTATGCATACCTCTTTAAGATGACTGTATTTTCTTTCCCAGTTCCCCACTCTACTTGCCAGAATAAAGACAGATTTTTGAGGGTTGCTACGACAACTTTGACACAAACCGTGCTGTGTTAATTGTTCACATACAGGACAGTGTAGAGTTGTAAAAAACCGAGAAATCGAACGCTAAAATTTGTTCAAATAAATTAATTTAGCTTTTACATCAAATTCATGAATGTACTTATGACAACTAACTTTTTGTTTACTTTTTGTTTACTTTTTGTTTACGATGTCGAGGGATATAGCGGGGTAGTTGTGTATACCATGAAAACACATCAACTCCAATCAAGGAAAAAACTCGATCCAATGGAGGAAGTATTTGTTTCTGAACATAGTACATGGTATTAATACGTAGATTTTTATCATTTAACACATCAATAGGACTGAAGAAAATTAAAACAAGAAGATTGTTTAATGAAGACAATCATATTTATACTAAAGTATTTATTAATAACATTCCAACAGCTTTTGTCATGATACATAACGTAAAATAATGAATGACTGCAACATTTAAACTTACTCTTTAACCAATTGAATCAATGGTAGTCCAGGACTGCCGTTAACAATGACGTAGGGTACACGTTCTCCCACGCGAGGTTCCGCGCGACGATCACGTGACAAATGACGTCTATACAAAAAGAGAAATAGTAAAATTGTAATCATGACAACAATATAAAGAGGATTTTTCATTTCAACAATAAAATGAACCTTGCAATTTCCAAAGCTGGAACACATGCTTTTGGTTTATATCTTTTCATACCACGATATTCCTTAGCAAAGATGAAATCCTGAATCGATACTCTATCTTTCATCATTTTAACGAACTGCCGCTGGACAAACTTCTTCACAAGACTCACGTCTCTTTCTTCAAATAAAATCCTTAAAGACTTCTCTAAAATCTGTTAGAAAAATAAAATCACAGCTGCTTTGAACTCAAAATTACTCCCCACCTGCAGAATCTTGGGTGATTGGATGACACAGTAAATATTGTCGATTGTTCCATACCTTAGCGACCGCTGGACATGTATCTCGCCGGACAGTCTCTATTCCTTTCGCATCAAACATTGGATCTTTCTGTTCTAATGTTTCGTACATATAACCAACGTAACGTTTCTTTGTTTGAAGAACACAAGGCATATATGCCTAAAAATCATCCCTAGTTATACATAAATGTATCATAAAGTCCAAATCTCTCAAAAAGATACAATTTTACAGTAGATAAAAACCTTTTCAAACTTTAGTTTCACAGGTTTAGGATTCTTTGCAGTAACAGCATCAACAACTTCTTTTCCAATCTTAAACGCTTCCTCTTTACTAGCACCTTTTACTAATACGAAAAGACTATCGGTGTCCCCATACACGACCACCCCAGTCATCCCTTGTGTTCACGAGATTGATAGCTCGTTCCAGAGTCTCGCGTGCTTTACGAACAATGGCGTCAGCAATCTGATGAAAACAGAAAAGAATATTCAGATGGTTTTAAGAGTAAAATGAATCCAGTATGACAATAAGCACTTGATAGATTTTCAATCTGAGAATGTGACTTAGTCCAGGCTCACGATAATCATAATAATCAACATGTATCTATATATATATATTATATATTTACCAATTATCTGTAGTAAATATATTATATATTTATTGTATCTAAAATATATATGTGAATTGGTAAATATATAATATATATAATATAGATACAATCAATACAAAGTTTACGGCACAAGGTCTGTTTAGATGGAATGGGAGAGTTATCGTTTGTTTAAATTTCTATCATGAATACAAAGTTTACGGCACAAGGTCTGTTTAGATGGAATGGGGAGAGCTATCGTTTGTTTAAATTTCTATCATGAATACAAAGTTTACGGCACAAGGTCTGTTTAGATGGAATGGGGAGAGTTATCGTTTGTTTAAATTTCTATCATGAATACAAAGTTTACGGCGCACGGTCTGTTTAGATGGAATGGGGAGAGTTATCGTTTGTTTAAATTTCTATCATGAATACAAAGTTTACGGCACAAGGTCTGTTTAGATGGAATGGGGAGAGTTATCGTTTGTTTAAATTTCTATCATGAATACAAAGTTTACGGCGCAAGGTCTGTTTAGATGGAAAGGGAGAGTTATCGTTTGTTTAAATTTCTATCATGAATACAAAGTTTACGGCACAAGGTCTGTTTAGATGGAATGGGAGAGTTATCGTTTGTTTAAATTTCTATCATGAATACAAAGTTTACGGCGCAAGGTCTGTTTAGATGGAATGGGGAGAGTTATCGTTTGTTTAAATTTCTATCATGAATACAAAGTTTACGGCGCACGGTCTGTTTAGATGGAATGGGAGAGTTATCGTTTGTTTAAATTTCTATCATGAATACAAAGTTTACGGCACAAGGTCTGTTTAGATGGAATGGGGAGAGTTATCGTTTGTTTAAATTTCTATCATGAATACAAAGTTTACGGCGCAAGGTCTGTTTAGATGGAATGGGAGAGTTATCGTTTGTTTAAATTTCTATCATGAATACAAAGTTTACGGCACAAGGTCTGTTTAGATGGAATGGGGAGAGTTATCGTTTGTTTAAATTTCTATCATGAATACAAAGTTTACGGCGCAAGGTCTGTTTAGATGGAATGGGGAGAGTTATCGTTTGTTTAAATTTCTATCATGAATACAAAGTTTACGGCGCACGGTCTGTTTAGATGGAATGGGGAGAGTTATCGTTTGTTTAAATTTCTATCATGAATACAAAGTTTACGGCACAAGGTCTGTTTAGATGGAATGGGAGAGCTATCGTTTGTTTAAATTTCTATCATGAATACAAAGTTTACGGGCAAGGTCTGTTTAGATGGAATGGGGAGAGTTATCGTTTGTTTAAATTTCTATCATGAATACAAAGTTTACGGCGCACGGTCTGTTTAGATGGAATGGGAGAGTTATCGTTTGTTTAAATTTCTATCATGAATACAAAGTTTACGGCGCACGGTCTGTTTAGATGGAATGGGAGAGCTATCGTTTGTTTAAATTTCTATCATGAATACAAAGTTTACGGCGCAAGGTCTGTTTAGATGGAATGGGAGAGCTATCGTTTGTTTAAATTTCTATCATGAATACAAAGTTTACGGCACAAGGTCTGTTTAGATGGAATGGGGAGAGCTATCGTTTGTTTAAATTTCTATCATGAATACAAAGTTTACGGCAAACGGTCTGTTTAGATGGAATGGGGAGAGCTATCGTTTGTTTAAATTTCTATCATGAATACAAAGTTTACGGCACACGGTCTGTTTAGATGGAATGGGGAGAGTTATCGTTTGTTTAAATTTCTATCATGAATACAAAGTTTACGGCGCAAGGTCTGTTTAGATGGAATGGGGAGAGCTATCGTTTGTTTAAATTTCTATCATGAATACAAAGTTTACGGCACAAGGTCTGTTTAGATGGAATGGGGAGAGTTATCGTTTGTTTAAATTTCTATCATGAATACAAAGTTTACGGCGCACGGTCTGTTTAGATGGAATGGGGAGAGCTATCGTTTGTTTAAATTTCTATCATGAATACAAAGTTTACGGCACAAGGTCTGTTTAGATGGAATGGGGAGAGCTATCGTTTGTTTAAATTTCTATCATGAATACAAAGTTTACGGCACACGGTCTGTTTAGATGGAATGGGGAGAGTTATCGTTTGTTTAAATTTCTATCATGAATACAAAGTTTACGGCGCAAGGTCTGTTTAGATGGAATGGGGAGAGCTATCGTTTGTTTAAATTTCTATCATGAATACAAAGTTTACGGCACAAGGTCTGTTTAGATGGAATGGGGAGAGTTATCGTTTGTTTAAATTTCTATCATGAATACAAAGTTTACGGCACACGGTCTGTTTAGATGGAATGGGGAGAGCTATCGTTTGTTTAAATTTCTATCATGAATACAAAGTTTACGGCGCAAGGTCTGTTTAGATGGAATGGGGAGAGTTATCGTTTGTTTAAATTTCTATCATGAATACAAAGTTTACGGCGCAAGGTCTGTTTAGATGGAATGGGGAGAGTTATCGTTTGTTTAAATTTCTATCATGAATACAAAGTTTACGGCACACGGTCTGTTTAGATGGAATGGGAGAGTTATCGTTTGTTTAAATTTCTATCATGAATACAAAGTTTACGGCGCACGGTCTGTTTAGATGGAATGGGGAGAGCTATCGTTTGTTTAAATTTCTATCATGAATACAAAGTTTACGGCACGGTCTGTTTAGATGGAATGGGAGAGCTATCGTTTGTTTAAATTTCTATCATGAATACAAAGTTTACGGCGCACGGTCTGTTTAGATGGAATGGGGAGAGCTATCGTTTGTTTAAATTTCTATCATGAATACAAAGTTTACGGCACACGGTCTGTTTAGATGGAATGGGGAGAGCTATCGTTTGTTTAAATTTCTATCATGAATACAAAGTTTACGGCACACGGTCTGTTTAGATGGAATGGGGAGAGCTATCGTTTGTTTAAATTTCTATCATGAATACAAAGTTTACGGCGCACGGTCTGTTTAGATGGAATGGGGAGAGCTATCGTTTGTTTAAATTTCTATCATGAATACAAAGTTTACGGCACACGGTCTGTTTAGATGGAATGGGGAGAGCTATCGTTTGTTTAAATTTCTATCATGAATACAAAGTTTACGGCGCACGGTCTGTTTAGATGGAATGGGGAGAGCTATCGTTTGTTTAAATTTCTATCATGAATACAAAGTTTACGGCGCACGGTCTGTTTAGATGGAATGGGGAGAGCTATCGTTTGTTTAAATTTCTATCATGAATACAAAGTTTACGGCACACGGTCTGTTTAGATGGAATGGGAGAGCTATCGTTTGTTTAAATTTCTATCATGAATACAAAGTTTACGGCGCACGGTCTGTTTAGATGGAATGGGAGAGCTATCGTTTGTTTAAATTTCTATCATGAATACAAAGTTTACGGCGCACGGTCTGTTTAGATGGAATGAGGAGAGCTATCGTTTGTTTAAATTTCTATCATGAATACAAAGTTTACGGCGCACGGTCTGTTTAGATGGAATGGGAGAGTTATCGTTTGTTTAAATTTCTATCATGAATACAAAGTTTACGGCGCACGGTCTGTTTAGATGGAATGGGAGAGCTATCGTTTGTTTAAATTTCTATCATGAATACAAAGTTTACGGCGCACGGTCTGTTTAGATGGAATGAGGAGAGCTATCGTTTGTTTAAATTTCTATCATGAATACAAAGTTTACGGCGCACGGTCTGTTTAGATGGAATGGGGAGAGCTATCGTTTGTTTAAATTTCTATCATGAATACAAAGTTTACGGCACACGGTCTGTTTAGATGGAATGGGGAGAGCTATCGTTTGTTTAAATTTCTATCATGAATACAAAGTTTACGGCACACGGTCTGTTTAGATGGAATGGGGAGAGCTATCGTTTGTTTAAATTTCTATCATGAATACAAAGTTTACGGCGCAAGGTCTGTTTAGATGGAATGGGGAGAGTTATCGTTTGTTTAAATTTCTATCATGAATACAAAGTTTACGGCGCACGGTCTGTTTAGATGGAATGAGGAGAGCTATCGTTTGTTTAAATTTCTATCATGAATACAAAGTTTACGGCGCACGGTCTGTTTAGATGGAATGGGGAGAGCTATCGTTTGTTTAAATTTCTATCATGAATACAAAGTTTACGGCACACGATCTGTTTAGATGGAATGGGGAGAGCTATCGTTTGTTTAAATTTCTATCATGAATACAAAGTTTACGGCACACGATCTGTTTAGATGGAATGGGAGAGCTATCGTTTGTTTAAATTTCTATCATGAATACAAAGTTTACGGCGCAAGGCCTGTTTAGATGGAATGGGGAGAGTTATCGTTTGTTTAAATTTCTATCATGAATACAAAGTTTACGGCGCAAGGTCTGTTTAGATGGAATGGGAGAGCTATCGTTTGTTTAAATTTCTATCATGAATACAAAGTTTACGGCGCAAGGTCTGTTTAGATGGAATGGGGAGAGCTATCGTTTGTTTAAATTTCTATCATGAATACAAAGTTTACGGCGCACGGTCTGTTTAGATGGAATGGGGAGAGCTATCGTTTGTTTAAATTTCTATCATGAATACAAAGTTTACGGCGCACGATCTGTTTAGATGGAATGGGAGAGCTATCGTTTGTTTAAATTTCTATCATGAATACAAAGTTTACGGCGCACGGTCTGTTTAGATGGAATGGGGAGAGCTATCGTTTGTTTAAATTTCTATCATGAATACAAAGTTTACGGCGCAAGGTCTGTTTAGATGGAATGGGAGAGCTATCGTTTGTTTAAATTTCTATCATGAATACAAAGTTTACGGCGCACGGTCTGTTTAGATGGAATGGGAGAGCTATCGTTTGTTTAAATTTCTATCATGAATACAAAGTTTACGGCGCACGATCTGTTTAGATGGAATGGGGAGAGCTATCGTTTGTTTAAATTTCTATCATGAATACAAAGTTTACGGCGCACGATCTGTTTAGATGGAATGGGAGAGCTATCGTTTGTTTAAATTTCTATCATGAATACAAAGTTTACGGCACACGGTCTGTTTAGATGGAATGGGAGAGCTATCGTTTGTTTAAATTTCTATCATGAATACAAAGTTTACGGCACACGGTCTGTTTAGATGGAATGGGGAGAGCTATCGTTTGTTTAAATTTCTATCATGAATACAAAGTTTACGGCACAAGGTCTGTTTAGATGGAATGGGGAGAGTTATCGTTTGTTTAAATTTCTATCATGAATACAAAGTTTACGGCGCACGATCTGTTTAGATGGAATGAGGAGAGCTATCGTTTGTTTAAATTTCTATCATGAATACAAAGTTTACGGCGCACGATCTGTTTAGATGGAATGAGGAGAGCTATCGTTTGTTTAAATTTCTATCATGAATACAAAGTTTACGGCGCAAGGTCTGTTTAGATGGAATGGGAGAGCTATCGTTTGTTTAAATTTCTATCATGAATACAAAGTTTACGGCGCACGATCTGTTTAGATGGAATGAGGAGAGCTATCGTTTGTTTAAATTTCTATCATGAATACAAAGTTTACGGCGCACGATCTGTTTAGATGGAATGAGGAGAGCTATCGTTTGTTTAAATTTCTATCATGAATACAAAGTTTACGGCGCACGATCTGTTTAGATGGAATGAGGAGAGCTATCGTTTGTTTAAATTTCTATCATGAATACAAAGTTTACGGCGCAAGATCTGTTTAGATGGAATGGGGAGAGCTATCGTTTGTTTAAATTTCTATCATGAATACAAAGTTTACGGCGCAAGGTCTGTTTAGATGGAATGGGAGAGCTATCGTTTGTTTAAATTTCTATCATGAATACAAAGTTTACGGCGCAAGGTCTGTTTAGATGGAATGGGGAGAGCTATCGTTTGTTTAAATTTCTATCATGAATACAAAGTTTACGGCACACGGTCTGTTTAGATGGAATGGGGAGAGTTATCGTTTGTTTAAATTTCTATCATGAATACAAAGTTTACGGCACAAGGTCTGTTTAGATGGAATGATGAGAGCTATCGTTTGTTTAAATTTCTATCATGAATACAAAGTTTACGGCACACGGTCTGTTTAGATGGAATGGGGAGAGTTATCGTTTGTTTAAATTTCTATCATGAATACAAAGTTTACGGCGCAAGGTCTGTTTAGATGGAATGATGAGAGCTATCGTTTGTTTAAATTTCTATCATGAATACAAAGTTTACGGCACAAGGTCTGTTTAGATGAAATGGGGAGAGTTATCGTTTGTTTAAATTTCTATCATGAATACAAAGTTTACGGCGCAAGGTCTGTTAAGATGGAATGATGAGAGCTATCGTTTGTTTAAATTTCTATCATGAATACAAAGTTTACGGCACAAGGTCTGTTTAGATGAAATGCGAGAGTTATCGTTTGTTTAAATTTCTATCATGAATACAAAGTTTACGGCGCAAGGTCTGTTAAGATGGAATGATGAGAGCTATCGTTTGTTTAAATTTCTATCATGAATACAAAGTTTACGGCACACGGTCTGTTTAGATGGAATGGGGAGAGCTATCGTTTGTTTAAATTTCTATCATGAATACAAAGTTTACGGCACACGGTCTGTTTAGATGGAATGGGGAGAGCTATCGATTGTTTAAATTTGTATCATGACAAGATCAAAGTTACCTCAACACAAGGCATTCGTCCTGAGAAGTTTGCGGATGTGTAACCATAAGTGACATTTGCAATCAACTTTAAAGCAAGTTGTCGAGCATCAAGAAGTTGAAGAAGAGTCTAAAATGTAAATTATTTATGATATTGAATGATTAAAGAAAACAAACGAAGAGTGGAAAGGCATCTTTTTTGTACATGATGAAAACTCCATGACGTTTTAGCTAATGGATCTTATAAAAACATCAAAAATCGCTTCAAAAACAAAGGTTTAATAAAACCAACTTACTTTATCATCTTTACAATCTTTCATAGCTTTCTTTACCATAATACGTGTGTCTAATATCTCCTCTAACATTCTAAAATAAATCAAACTTATTGAACATATAATAGCCAAAGATATCAAGACCCATTTAGGAGAGCAAAGACTTAAGAAGGAACGCTATGTACATTGCAAAATATACAACAAAATGCAAATGTTATTTTTTCAACAATCTTTTGAATCAATAAAATGTGACTTGTAACCAAATGAATGTGAAATATCCCACATTACCTGGGTAAAATTCCTCGTCTTATGTTAGATTTTACAAAACAGAGCCGTTGGCGCTTACATGAATATCATCTTGCAGTTTCTGAAAGGAAATGTATTGTTTAAAATGTATTGCTTGTCGTGATGGTAATTTATTAAAATTCTCACCTCCAGTAATGTTGGAGGAACATTCAACGATGTACAACCAAACTCAAAATGACCAATTCTATCAACAAACGCAATAAATATTAAAAAAATTAACTGAAAGAAAATACGTAGAAGGTTTGTATTCAAAAATTTTTCAACTCGGGAAATGTAGTTCTTCAACAACACATTAGCTAAAGCCTTAAGTAGCGCAAAGTTTAATGGTGTTAGTCGAAAAACTCAGCCAAGACGAAAATGTAGCGTTTAAAGGTAATTTGAGGAAAATATTTTACAAAGGTTAACACTTACTTATTTAATCTGGCAAGCTTTCCAAGATAAGTGGAATAACAATAGTTATAGGCTATGATCATAGAGGGATAAAGAGATTGAAAATCCAACACAAGAACGGGATCAACATAGAAACGAGATTCGGGCTCCATGACCAAAGGGATACATTCTGGTGCATCCATTCTAAGGAAGTTTAAGATAAAATGGGCTTCATGACCAAAGGGATATATTCTGGTGCATCCATTCTAAGGAAGTTTAAGATAAAATGGGCTTCATGACCAAAGGGATATATTCTGGTGCATCCATTCTAAGGAAGTTTAAGATAAAATTTTCAATAATCTATCTTTTTTAATGAATAAAATAATGAATAAAAGTAGGAGTGAACAAAATAACATCTTAGGAAGACAATATAGAATAGTTGCATATCGCTAAACGACAATGTTAGATTAGTTGCTTATTGTTGGGGGTAATATGAAACAGTTTTGTATAGCTGAGGGATAATGTGGAACAGTTGTGAATCGCTGAGGGATAATTTCTTACCTAGCTCTCTGCTGTATACTTGGTGAAACAGAAATATAATTCATTGGTTTTGTTAGACGAAACATCATCGACTCAACACGAAACTCAAATAAAATAAAAATAATTTCCTGCAAGACTTAACTAATTTAAAATAGTTATTTGGCTTTAAATCTATGAGTGAAATAAAGCGTTGATGATAGAAAGATTATAAATGAAGATAGCGCTCATCAAAGATGGAAAATTTAGTAGTAGTGACAATTTAAATATGAAAGTATTATTGAGTAAACATAAGATAAAATGGCAAAATAAATGTGTACCATTAAGTAATTATAAGTCCATTGAAGATCAAATTATTCCTAAGCATTATTAATGAATAATTTTTACCTGTGAACCACGTGATATGACACTGTAAAAGAGTATCCCATAAAGCCTTGCGAACTCACTTGTCCTGTTAACGAAGTCGAGCTGATTCAAAATCCTGATGTTGCCTTGACAACGAATGACGTAGTGCTCCACAGTTCTCCAACGATCATGAGGTAGTTTCTTATCCCACCATTGTGTGAGCTGACGATAACTGTACAGCGGTACTCTTTCGTGCAGTACGTGGTATGATACATTCTCAAACGAGTAGACATTCAAAGTCACCTAAAAGAAAAATAATCAAACTGCGATCTTTATTACTAACATTTTTACTATATCAATAATGTCAAAAATGTTAACAACTTTAACTTTAAATTGTCACCAAAGATTGTAAAAATTATTTTGGTAAATAGAGAAAGATAAATGAATCATTTATCTTATTCAAAATACAGTCATCATAATGTACTCGTACTAACGGAATGGAACACAGAATTAGACTGCAGAGCGTCACAAAGCAGTTCTAATTAGTTGATAATAAAAGAAGCTAGTTTTACTTTTAGATCGATAAAAAAGATTGTTACAAAATGACCTAATGAACAATAATGAAAATATGACCTAATCAATGATGGTTTATACATGATGGTTTATGCATGATGACGTAATCAATGATAGTGTATACATGATGACGTAATCAATGATGGTGTATACATGATGACGTAATCAATGATGGTTTATACATGATGACCTAATCAATGACGGTTTATACATGATGACCTAATCAATGATGGTGTATGCATGATGACCTAATCAATGATGGTATATACATGAGGACGTATCAGTGATGGTGTATACATGATGACGTCATTAATGATAGTATATGCAAGATGACGTCATCAATGATGGTGAGTACATCATGACGAAATCAATGACATCACCAGATACCTCGTGTTTCATAAGTCGCCAAACATTTAAAATAATTCTTCCCGTAATTGTAATCTCTGACGTATGATTAGCTCCCCACTTGTCAATTTCCGCATCAAACCGCGCCGTACCGGAAGTATCCTGCACTCGAGATAATTGTGACGCTATATCAATCCCAAGAGTCGTAGCGCGTTGTATAAGATATCCCCAAGACAACATTTGAACTTCAAAGCCCAGCAAGATGTCAGGATCTTTTTCATGGACAATTTTAACCAAATAATTGATAACATCAGTTTCTTCTTCCACTGTTACAACCTCAAGATTTTTTGAATTACAAAAATGACGCTGTAAGTTTCCTTTTACATGGGATGTTTTTGTCGTGTCTGTGGCACTTGTAGACTTGAAAATAAAAACAAAAAGAGTTCAATGCAAGTTCATCGTTTAATCATCTGAAATTGCCATCGTAAAATAACTCCCTTACGCAAAAATAACTCAAGTTTAAGTTCACTGACAGACCATAACAACATCTGATTAATTGAAAATAGCGAACAGAGAAATATAGTTTTCCAAAACGTTTTCCAATTTAGCCCATGTATAATCATAAGAACAATTTTTACAACTCCTGAGATATGAAATCCATAAAATGTCAATTACCTGACATACGTCATCATTAGTATTTCTAATTTTCGTCATCTCTCGTAGAGTTACTATCACTCCAGTTTCATATTTCTTCCCATCTTTTGTCTCGTTTTCAATATGATAAAATATTGCACAAATAACGTCAAACTCTGGGTCGGGACGTAAACTTCTCCTTGTTCTTACATGAAGTTCTACACTCAGCAAAGTTAGAAATTGAACCTAAAAAATTAAAAAAAACTGTGCCTTAAAATAAATAGCCTAAAATGTTCACAATACCTTCCCAAAAGTATCGCTATGGGTAGTTTAATCTTTAATCTTTAACCATTCTAATCTCACATTAAAAGTGCCTATATCATAACATCACCTATACGATTTTTATGGTTTTGAAGAGAACTTAAAAAGTTACTAAATAAGTTTCAAAACATTTTTTATTTACTTGAATAGTTTTTGAAAAATTAAGCTTTGAATTGCCATTTTGGCTCGTTTTAAAAAAAATTTCCGTCGTCTTGGGGGACTGGGACTCAGGAACGCGTCCTTTGTCATTTACTATAAAATGAATTACATTTCCGCTGACCAGTTGGGAAAATCGTAAATAAGTTCACATATAATAGTGAATTACACATAGTTCAACTATTTTACCTACTTTAACTATTTTCTAAGTCTAGTTTGGTGAACATTTAACATTTTCATAACCAACCTGGCGAAGGGACTTGGCATCTTGAATATTCGGTTGAGAAATTTGAAATCCAAAACTATTTGTTGGTGTAGGTCCTTCAATATAAGATCCTTCACTGAGAGATGTTTGTTGTTGTGCGCCAGGTAATGGATAGTCCTTTTGGAAAGAGATAAGAATTAAATTGTACAATATATTTTAAGTGAAGACAATTGATATTCTTTCTTCAGCAAGATTCAAACTGACAAAATATCATCCACAACAAGACAGTAGCTAAGTCAGCCGTTCCTACTCCTTGTTGAATTTTTGTAAATACAAAGGAATCAAGTAACAATACGAAACAACTTTGTAACAATATGTAAAAACTGTGTAACAATATGTAAAAACTTTGTAACAACAACATTGTAATATCAATTATGTATTACAGAAAAATGCGCAAATACATACAATTACGTAGCAATGACGTAACCGTAAACAAAGAATAATAATATTAAGAGGAAAGAAAATTTCCTGTTTATAGCACAATTATCAAACACTGAAAATAAACAATGTTTTACCTTTTCGTGATTCTTGAGTAAATTTCTCCTTAGGTTTTGTAGTTTTAAATCTTTTTCCTTGCGGGATTCTTCATTATTCTTATCTTTAATATGATCTATAGGAGTACAATGCCATACTTTATGACTTTTATTTTCACAATCAACTACAGGTGTACTGTGTTTTGGACCAATCACGTGACACGATAGAATGTTCCCAGAATTTCCTTGACTTTCCTCATTTTCTTGTAAACTTTGACCGCCACTATTTTCAAGCAGTCTATGTTCTGTCACAAACGTCTCTCCATTAACAAAATTCGCATTTTTTGGAATTTCGCAATCCTCTGAAACAATATCAGAGGTATTCAAACGTTCATTTTCAGGCCTTTTTGTCAACATCCATTTCTCGACATCTTTCCTCGTTGGCGGTAGTTTAACTGGAGTGATTATCACGTCACGATCTCCCATTAAGACAATCTTTAGTTTTCCAGGTATATCCTTATATTGAGGAAAATTACTAATTTTACTCTCTGAAGCTAGACAGTCCATGAGTAAACCGTTGTCCATCTTGGATACATATTGGTCTTGGAGTTCCCTCAAAGTCCTGAAGTTCCCGCCAAGATTAAATTCAGGAAGCTCTTTTACCTGCAAACAAAATAACAATCCAAAATTAAAGGATGACTAACCAACTAACAAAGGAAACGATGGAATTATCATAACATTCCTGGATTAAAGGATAGTTAACCAACTATGAAAAGAAAGGAGGGACACGATAAGATAAAGTCCCCAACAAGCATAGGAGAGAGGGGGATTATGATGCAAAGTTAGAAGATAAAGACAAAAAATAACATTGCATTCAACATGGAGGTTTTTGATTTTTAATCTCCAATTTTCATTGCTCATTATTTCAAATAAAATTACATGACAACAGTTCACTAAGACCAAAGTGTAAACAACAAAAATAAAAGTAAGAATGGAGAGCTTACCGATAATGAAGACAAATGAAGACGCCGTCCACCGACAACCCTAAAACCATATCATGTAAGAAACATTCAGGAACGAATCCAGCCCGTTTTTTTACACCTACACTGCAAATAATTTTGTCAAAGTTGCTAGCAAAACAACGAATGGAATTAATTTAAAAAAAAAAATTTTGCTGAAAAATTTGCATTGTATAGGCAAATGTCCGGGCTGGTTTCGCCAGTGGAAACACTCAAAATTATTAAAGACCCAAAGAGCACGCCATTTTAAAAAAAATACATTTCAAACATCTTTGCATTTAAACGAAAAGACAAAATAAACAAAAACAATGTCATTTTTAAACAAGAAACTAAATTCCTTACTTCGTTGTCAACGGTAAATCATTGGAATCACTACAAAACGCTTTTTGATGACGAACATGAGGTAGATTGTAGATATGACGTGTTTCTTTAACATAATTTGGTGAAGGAGGCATCCTTGTTGGTTTCCAAATCTTCAATTCATAACTACCTTCTGCCTGGGATAAGTTGATCTTTTTGATTTTTGAATGGGGTTCTTTTTGGTCTTTATATACTTGGTAAGAACTATCTTTATTAACATATAGTTGATTATAACCATCACTATCCTCAAATACTTGACGACAACCATCATTATCCACAGCTACCTGATTACAACCATCATTATCCGCATATACTTGATTATGAACATCATTATCCACAGATACTTCATTACAACCATCATTATTCACAGACACCTGATCAAAACCATCATTATCCACAGATACTTGGTCACAATCATTATTGTCCACAGATATTTCATAAGAAACATCATTATCCACAAAAGCGCCTTTAATATGTTCTTTCTTGTGTAAATCACACGATATTTCCATGTTTGAAACATCACAAACAACTTCTTCACCCTTTATTACATTATTCTTACTAAAACATTCTCCAGTCCTTTCTAAATTTAAGTCACTGACCTCGGTAACAACAGGAACTGTATTACTATCAGGACTTTCGAGGTTATTACTCGTACCAGAGGACTGGTGACCGTCAAATGACTCATCAAGATTCCATTTAAAGCTTTCCTCATCTGGTGGAAGCCTTAACACCATAGAACTTCCACTAGAGCACCCATCACTATAATGACTGTACAAAGGATGTTTTTCATCGGTCAAACACAAAGATTCCGAAGGTGAATCAATAAGATTTTCACTTTTAGATTCACTACACACAGATCTGTGATCAACATGTTCCAAGTATTGATCAAAATTCTTTTCAGTTTGGTTTGGTGTTAAGGCAAACAAATCATCTTCAAAATCCAATTCAACATTCCTCGAGCAATCTTCCACAACAAAATCATTAAAACCATTATCGTTGACAGTTTTTAACGACTCCAATACTGAAGATATACTGTGAACACGGTGATCTTTAGTTGTTTTTGTTTCAAGAGAGTTGATAACATCTTTATTTACGATATCACCGCACGATAAAAATACATTATTTTCGTCGATAAATGTGATTTGAAAATCGCTTAATTTCCCACATGATTTGTCAACCTTGTCATTCAGTGAGATATTATCCTCAATAAAGTTAGGTTCATCAAAGGATTTCTCAATCCTTTGAAGTTCATGCTTATCCACATTTATCATACAATCCTCACAAGATACGTTAATAGAGTCAGCGGACGCGTTTTGTAGAAAGAAGAAAAATGAAGGTGTGTTTCCATAACTAGAATGATTTTTCTTAACTAAAGTATTCTTCTCACAGTTTTGCAATGATGTAAATTTATCTTTCATATGTATAAAATCTTCCATCTTTTAACACTATCTTCATCATTTTTGTTCTTTCCACAATTCACAACATCTTTAGGATGCTCCGCAAATTTAGGCGACGTTTTCATTTTTAAATCTTCAACAGAAATCTTCTCCAGCCGTACGCAAGCATCCATTAAATCTCTTGAAGAATTTCTTCTGTTTCGTATTTTATTGTTTCTTAGTTCATAATCTCTGCGTTTTTTATTATCATTCGTCTCACTCCGACAATCGATGACTTTAGCTTTCGTAGATCTTTTCTTAGGACGTTCACGCTTCTTCTTTTCTTTAAAATCATCATTATAACCACCATGTTTCTTTGCAATGGCGTTATCCTCATTTCCTGTTTTGTCACCTCCGTTTTCTCGCAGTATCGTGAGTTTTCATTGTACTTTTGGACAGCGTTATCCTTACATAAACTTATTTGATTCATCCCAGAAGTTTTTACTAAATTCTTGCAAACATTTTCATTTTGAAAAGTTATCAAATCACCACAATATTTTCCTTCCATTTGTTAGACATCTTGAATTGGATTTTTCTCAACAATTGAAGACACTTCCACGTCACGTTGGACATCATTTCTATTCAAGTCAATCTATTTCTTGTTAAAAGAAACAGCATCATGATAAGATGAACTATCGTCTTTGGTCACCACTTTTTCAGTTTTATTTAAAGTAAACTGTAAACAGGGGGACTTTTCTGATTTTCTTGTTCCTTTCAAATTATTTGTAAAACTATATCCGTACAAACAAGATTCTTGTCCTAAAGTTGAAGTTGTGCTCGGGCCATGACTGTTAGGATCAAATAAGTCAGAGAGATTTTTCTTACAAGACACAGAACTAGTTTCCATACATTCATTTTAGCAAACATTTGATTTTTTCGACATAAGTTTGGTTCTCGTCTTCAAATTATTTTTCCCACATTCATTCGCCTCATTTGTGCCAAATGAACCCTGAAATACTTTATTTTTATGAAAATTTTTGATGAAAGTTGCTTTAAAATCATCATCATCGTGATCATCACAGGAACTTTCGCTTAACCAAAGTTCAAAATCTGACGTTTGAGATCCACTAGAATCGTTCTCAGTACAACGTAAATGTTCTCTGACATTTTTTGAAACGCCAAGATTACGGAATATCTCCTTTCCCTTCTTTAATCCAGACATCTTCTTCTTTCCTTTTGACGTTTTTTTAAAATTATTAGAAACAGAAATTATTAGATCCATCATCTTCACGTTTTTCATTGTATTTGTTTTAGAACCCATAGAATAACTCTCCCCAGATCTCCCTCGTTTATTTGATGGATAAAATGAATGGAAATCAGGTAATTCTTCATTAACATTGTTCTTACTTCCTCGAAATGGACTTGTTGGTGTCATCGTTTCTCGACGTTTATTGTCATACGTCATCATTTGCCGAGAAGAAATGTGTGTTGATGTATCAACGTCATTTTGAGTTTTATGACAGCCACCAAACACATTAAGTTGAGCAATTTTTCTTTTTCTTCCACCTCGTTTACATTTCTTTAAATTTTTACTTTTTGATTTTTCTTTACTTTGAAAATCATTGTCGTCGTCATACTCGATTTTCATTTTCCAATTTTATCCTTAAAACCACGTGATACAGTTGTACACGTGCTACCATGGCCTGCAGAGTCCTCGTCATCACCAGGACCATCCACTTGAGGCATACGCAAAGGTGGTTTCCAGTCCATTTCCTCTTCATCCTCCGAACTGCAAGTGAAGAAGACAGCAACTCAAAACTTTAGAGGAGACCTTTGGGAGAACTTGAGAGCTGATCAGTGCAGAGGCAAGTCAAAGGCTCAAAAGTTCTCACTAACGTCTCCGATGTTTGCATAAGCCTGTATAAGCAATAAAAATGTCATTTAATTCTTTTATAAAACAACAGTAGTACAAAACAGACAACTTTAAAACGAAACAAGTGTTTTACAGCTATTTGCAATTTACGTTTGTTAATAGTTTCAAAATTTGACGTTACTAACGTCTAACTCATTGTTGCTAAGGCATACGTGTTAAGTTATGGAAAATGTTGTTTTTATCTAATAAACAACCGTAAAATGTTGAAATTATGTAAGTATGGAAAGACGTTTCAAAACGTTAAACTCTATCGTTAGATATAAAACTTTAAATTGGTATTGGTGAGACACAGTTTGTCTTAGTCGTAGACTCGGAGAACGACACTTTGTGATTAACCAATGCTATCTCAGGGTTACGCCTTAACAACAAACAGATAGCTGAATAGTAACGTTGAGTTTTGAAACTATAACAAACGTTTAATTTATGCACGCCTCACGGTCAATTGCAAATGGCTGTAATTTTTTCTGTGGCATGTATTTATGATTCATTTGGAAATTCTCTTTGATTGATTTTAGTTCATTGAGCTCAGATATATTTACACAAGCTAATGGTAACTCAACTGTAGAAAAATCAACGCACACCTTTTATTGTCTTTATTTTATAAACAAAAATGGATACTTTTACCTTTGGGAATCATGTTGCTCTTCATTATCTTTCCAAAATGGCTGTGACATTAATATTGATTCTTTATCTTCATCAATATCTTCATCATGTTCATCATCACTACCTTCTGAATAAACAATAAAATAAAAAAGATTGATTGAAAAACTTCATATAAGACAAATTTTACTAAACACAAATGAAACTGTACACAATCAACATTGATATCCATACTGAATTATGGTAGTATTGATCTCAATACAATATTCCTATAATGGAATGTTCATTCTTACTTTGTGAGCCTGCAATAAGAGAACATTCATGCAGCAGTGTTTCATTGTCATCCTTATCTAAACTCATTAAAATCTCCACCAATTCTATATCCAACTCTCCAGCTAAATAAATAACTCATATTAATAAAAATTTGAGCCCTTGAGAGAGAAAGAAGTATTTTCGTTAATAATACATGAATTGCTGGCCTGGCTGGCTTGTAGTACATCTATAACTGACTGATCGACAACTGGACTATCCACATCCACATCTAAAACAGAAAAAATAGAAATATTTTATTGAATGATTATAACTTAAAATCAGTTGGCAAAAATCATCAAAACCTTGGTTTATTGTTGCTTCACACTGCGGTTGCTTGCCTTGTGACAAAATACTTTGAGAAAATTCTTTAAAGTCTTTGGGTGAAAGAGATTTTTCTATTGTCTCCAACTCACTTTGACTGCAAGTTCATTTGAAATTAATAAAAATATAAAGTTAAATCATTAAACATCACAAGATCAAATCTTACATCACTTTATTTCTTTCATCAATAATTTCTTTGATTTTTTCATTAAATTCTTTCTCAAGATTCAATACGGGTGTTTCAACACGATCTAACAACAAAAAATTTGAATTTTTATGTGTAGTGTTAACTGTAAAGTAAACAAAAATTAATAAAGGAAAAGTTGAACACATCTTTAAACAACAACAAACAACAAACAACATTTGTATACCGGCCAGTATTAATCCCCGCCAGGGGGGTTGACCGGTCCATGAATTTTTCTACGCCAAACGTCTCTATCTCTCGCCATATCCCTCGTTATACCAATCGCCTTCATATCACTGTTCACAGCATCCATCCATCTCTTTCTCGGCCTACCTCGTTTGCGGACTCCATCAACATTCATATGCAACGTTCTACGAATTTCAGCACTTTCTTCCCTCCTTTTCACATGACCAAACCACCTCAAACGCTGGCGCCTTACCCAATTCTCGATACACTCAACACTAACTCTTTCTCTAATCTCTTCACTTCGAATCCTATCCATCAACGTTACACCACACATCATCCTAAGCATTCTCCTTTCAGTCGACGCCAATCTTCTCAGGTCCTCTGCTTTCGGCGCCCAACACTCTGCTCCATATCCCAAAACACTTCTAACACATGCCTTGTACAATTCTCCCTTCTGCTTCAACGAAGTCGACTTTCCGCACAACATTCCCGACAACTCTCTAAAACTCCACCACGCTGCTTGAACTCTGTTCCTCACCGCTTGCTCGCACCCTCCACCATCATTTAACACATCGCCCAGATATTTAAACTCCGATACACCTTCCAAACTCACGTCACCCAGTTCAAACAGTTCAATCGCGACTCGCCCACCACTTCGACACGTCCCGCACTCAAAATCCGTTACTCTTGTCAATGCACCACGGACACCTGAACATCTTCCATGAACCCACTTACTGCATTTCCCACACATTATCGAATTCACTCCAACTCTTTTCCCACACACACCACATGGCCATTTATCACTGTCCTTCACCTCCACCTGCCTCGAGCATCTCATGCCCTTCGTCTTTGCCTCATTCACTTTCAGTCCCTTGACTTCTATTGCCGTTTTCCATTCTCGGTACCATTCCATGACTTTCTGCTTCGACTACGCCACCAAGACAATGTCATCTGCATACAACAAACACCAGCATCCTTCTTTTCTCACTTCCTCTCAGTACATCCATCACACAAGCAAACAGTAACGGCGACAAGAATGAACCTTGATGAACACCAACTTTTACCTCAAAAACACCAGATCTAACACCTTCCTCCGTAACCACCGCCTCTACACCTTCATAAGTCTCCATAACTGCCCGAACCATATTCTCTGTCACACCTTTCTTACGCAGCGCGTACTCGATCACCTTTCTCGGAACTCTATCAAACGCCTTCTCCAAATCTACAAACACCATATACAATTCTCTGTCCTTCTCCAAAAATTTCTCCTGCAGCTGCCTCAACACAAAACACGCATCCGTCGTTCCTCTCCCCAGTGTGAATCCATACTGCTCTTCCCCCATCCGAACAACTTCCCTCAACCTTCTTTCAAACACTCTCTCTACTATCTTCAACGCATGCTCCATCAGCTTAATAGTCCTGTAATTCCCACATACCGTCGCTGCTCCTTTTCCTTTGTACAGCGGGACCACTAGACTCTTTCTCCATGTACTCGGCATCTTTGAGCCCCTCAAAACCTCGTTCGCTACATTACACAACTCTCTCACGCATAGTTCATTGTCCAACATTTCGCTACCCACTTCACTCGGTCCCGTCCATTGAGTTCTATATACCTGGAGCGGCTAACTTTACTGGGGCGAGGACGCCAAAAAAATGGCGGCCAAAGGACGTATTTCCGCTGAAATGATCGCTTTGCAGAAAAATATTATTCTCGACCTCCCCCTGGTGTCTATAGTAAATTATAAAGAATTTTTCAAAAACAAACACGATATCACAGAATATGGATATCGTGACGTTAGTTCCATATTCTGTGACGATATCTTTTTTGGCATTTCTTTTATAATGCCAACACTTCAATCGTTCAATTGTTGGATGTCGTAGTTTCCACAAAAAGGATAATATCGCTTCTCACAGGTGAGGTAGTTGTTTGTTTTGTTAGTCCGTCAACGATTGAAAATAAAAGCAATTATACATGCACTTGAAAAACGATAAAATACATATTAAAGATCGTATTTTTCAAGACTGACTTGAACGCCAAATATACTGATGTTTTCCTGTTTTTGTTTATAAAATTCTGCATACTTTTCTGTCATTTGTTAATGCATGAAATCGTAAATTTACCCATTTATTTGCTAAATAGTTTCCCTAAAGCAAAAAAGACCCTGCACACATTTTGCTCTGTGAGTAAGTATCAAAAAGAAATGATCAGCCCAAACGGTACCCATGATTTGGAGCAGAGCTTGTTATGTTCTATTTTTGCTGACAACATGCAGGGAAGATCAAGGAGTAAAGATGACTGGAAGATATTATTCACCAGGCAGAGTCTTAAAAAATGATAATGCTGTAAAGATAATTGATTTATTGTCTGCCCTATCCAGAGTTATTTAATTTGATCATGGTCAAATTCTATGGATGGAGATAATGAATTCACTAAGGATGCCTTGAATGCTTTGAAGTTAAAGTTCATGATCCAAAGAAGGATGCCAAGAAGGTTGTGTGTGTTTTGATGCTTAATGAAATGTCAATTCACAAACATGTAAAATGGAAGGCCATAAAGTTTGTGTCTATGTAAACACTTGTACTGAGATTGATAATGATTCGATGCAGATGTGAAGCTTCAAACTGTATAAGCCATTGGGTTTTATATAACTTAAAGTTTAAATCATGTCATATCTTTATCAAAATACTTTAGTTGAGTGTTGTTTAAATGTTACTAATATCTAATGCACTATACTGAAGCATTAAAGATTCAGTGATGAAACCTTTAAAGTTATTGTACTGTATATGTCTTATATATTTCTTATATTTTTTTAAGAAACAGTGTGAGCTTATTTACCTATTAGAGTATAGAATGGAGATTTATCATATGCATTATTGCTGCTTTTTTAAAGAAAAGTTTTTCACTTTTCAAAGCTTTTCTACAAATTTTTTGCTTCTTATTTCTTGTCATGAGATTGATGATATAGAGGTAATATAATCCAATAACTTTCTAATTTCTAAAAAGCTTTTAAGCTTCTAGCATAAAAGTACACTATAGGTATGTAATTCATTTGGTTTTATTGCCTTGCTATGATATATCTACTTGCACTTCATCATTCTTGTATGAACAAAACACCAGATGTGGATACTCAGAGAACAAAATGCACTACCAACTGCTTATGAAATTTATTATTGAGGTGAAAACTGTGTTAATCATTCAAATTATAGTGCACTTTTATTGCAAATATAGGAAAAACAAAACAAAGTGAAAAAGAAAGGTAGAAGTATTAAAACTACAAATGAATTATAAACACCATTGGAAGCATAAGTGTTTTGATTATTATTTGCATTTTGCCCAATTCATATATCAATACAACAAAATCAAAATGTGCTACAACTTAACAAGTATTTGGAGCAGTTGCACTTCAGAACATCACAAAAAGGTTACTTAAAGTAATTTCTATACAATATTGTTTGTTTTCATTTACCAAACCTATGCAGACTTGAGTCTTTTTGAAATTTCATATGAAACTCAATTACAGAAAATCCGTAAATATCCAGAGATTTAATATGTACTTTTTTAAAGAAACAAGTAAAAATCCTACAATTGTGAAAAGCCATTGCCCATTGCATGAAAAGAAGCAAAATAGCAATGATAACAAATAAGCTAACTTCTCTCTCGTGAACCGTGGAGATGAGCTATGATATACTTTTTTGTATAGACTAAAGAGTTTAATCGATCAAATAAGTTTGACGCTGGTAAGAAAACGACGCACATCTACATTCATACATGTGTAGCCGACATATAGGTCTTTCGTCGATAGTTATAAATGCATCCTCGTAGGAGCAGATAACTGACAACCACAGTTGACTCGCTGTTATGAATTTAAGGTTTTTACCTTGATTTTCATCAAAAAATTGCTTGCCGAATCACAAATACACACATACATTTTCCTCACTCTTTCTTCAGGAGGGAGTGTGAAATTGTGAAATTTTCGGAAAAGCGGTCAATTTCGGTAAATCTCAGCGGCAAAGGACGAAATCCGCCATTTTTTTGGCGTCATCAGATATCTAAGGCCGCGCTTGAGATAGCCGCTCTAGTTATTATAGAACTCAATGGTCCCGTCGCCTTTCCTTTCTTCATCTTGCGCAGAGCCGCCGCCACCTCATCAACAGTCACTGTTTCCCACGGCCCCAAAACTTCATCTGCTTCAACTTCTCCATTCCATTCATTCTCTACATTCATCAAACGGTCACAGTACGCCCTCCACACTTCTAACCTGTCTTCCAATAACACCTTCAACTCCCCATCGTGGTTCTGCACGCCGGGAGCACCCAAAATATCGTTCCTCTCCTTCTTGCTCCTTCTAGCCGTTCTAAACAACGCTTTTCGTCCATTCTCCTGCATTTTTACGAGAAGCTCTTTCTGATGCCTTTCTATCGCTTTAGCCACCTCCTTTCGCGCCTTTTTCTTGAACCGGATGTAATCGATCCTATCTGCTTCTGAAGTTCAGTCCGCGACTTTCTCCACCTTTTAAATGCAAACTTCTTCACGCCAATCACTTCGCTGACTCGTTGATCCCACCACCATGCCTGTTCTTCTACTACACCGCCTTTACTTCTACAAAATACCTTCTCCGCTGCCTTTAAAACATCTCGTCCATCGCTCCTCCACCGTCTCACCATCAACATTCAATGCCGCAATTTCGTCACGGAAACACTGCTTCCCTTCATTCGATCGTAACTTCCATAGCTTAAGCCTGCCTTTACCCTCAACCTTTCTCCTCTTCACCTTCCTGATTCTCCAGTCCATGACCAGCAGCTTGTGGTCACATTCTTCCCCTGCAATTTTTTGCATCCTTCACGTTTTTCTCTTCTTCATTCACCAGTATATAATCCACCACCGTCCTACTGTCACCAGATTCATACGTCACAAGCTTGCTTTCTTCCTTTATAAACCACGTATTCACTACCACCATCCCACAACTCGCTGCTAACTCCAATATCGCCTCGCCTTCAGCATTCATATCACCAACTCCAAAACCTCCATGCGAACAGTATCCTTTTCTTACGCTTCCCACATGACCCTTCCAATCACCAAGCATCACACATCGCCCTCTAATGTCTGCTCTCACTGCATACACGCTGTCGTAGAACTTTTCCTTCTCCTCCGCACTTCGTCCAACCTGCGGAGCATACACCACAACGAAACTCACAACTTCGGCCTCAATAACTACATCAACTCTCAGGACTCTGTCCGAAACTCTCTTCACTGCTATAACCGACTTCGCCCAATCCTCTCTTATCGCAAAGCCAACACCATTCGTGCCACTTCCGTTTCCCTTCCAAAACCACTTAAATCTCGCTCCATTATTTTCACCCTTTATGACTCTCGTACCTTCACCTTTAAACCTTACCTCCTGAAACCCACACACATCAACTTTCCTTCTCTTCAACATGTCCGCCACTTCTGCACTCCTTCCCTTCATTGTCCCAACGTTCACTGTGCCTACCCGAAGGGTGGCACTTCCACCAACATTCGATCCGGAGATTCTTCGCACCCCTGCATACTGAAGGGCTGCCGGGGACTGGGGGCCATATCTTCTTTTCCAAAGTTCATGAATTTTGTTGGAGCAAAAGTTTTACGGTAGGATGCCCTTCCTTACACCAACCCCTTTTAGTCGTCTTTTACGACACGCAGAGGATACGTTGGCGCAATTCTAAGCCGGCAACCACACGGCAACCACATGAAATGTATTGTGAGTTATACAATAATGTGACATGTATTTTTTTGTACCTTACCTTGTGAAACAGTAAGAGCAACTTGTGAAGGTAGTCCAATATCTCGTCTTCGTTGTCTTTCATCTTCCCACATAGCAGTTATACCAGGATTATGACCAATACAACCTTCATAAACATAATAAACTCATTAAAGATGTATAAACAGTAAAATGAAGACATAAAGATAAGTAAATTTTACTTTCAACATTTATTTGATTCAAGATGTCTTCAGCAATTACATCAACTTCAAGTTCACATCGACTGACTTTTTTCACAGTGGGATCCAGGCATAAATTTCTAAATAATGACAAATAACAAACATTAAAATGATGAATATCAACTGTAAAGATAGTTATCACAAAGAATCATTCCAAAGTTAAACCAATTTTTTAAATGTAAATTCTGTAATCTGGATTGAGCATTGACTCTAAATCTTGGGATAAATCATATGCACATGTGTCAAATTTAGGATTAAAGATTTACACAAATCCTTTTGGTTTCAATTAATCTTCAAGTGTAAAATATATGAATCAGACAAACCTAGGAATAGTGTCTTCATTCCAGTGTTGAGATGAAGGAAAATTGAGAAATGAATTTGGAGATGAACCATGAAGTGGAATTGATTTATTATTACATGAAAGATTTTTATCTATAAAATTCAATTTGATGGTAAATAATCATTTGTGATGTTAGATTTTCATAGAATGCTGAAAAATCAATAATGAAACTTTCCTGTTTTTGAAGAAATTCCTCTAAAATGAACTTTTCTTACATGAAGTAAGTTCATACCATAAAGATTGTAATCAGTTAGAAACTAAAATAAACAATATTTCAATATAATTCTTATAATGTAACTTAGTGAAAATCTATAGAAGTTAATTATCCAGGTAGGAAAAGACTAAAGAAGGTCAGTGGCATTAGTGTTGAATGACATTTTAACATTGTTACCAGTAATCATCTCATCTAGATGTGGAAACATCAATCAAGACTACCCCCAACAGTCCTTCTCAATACTGAAGATCACTTTATGATCAACATCAACAAACATGCAGCTATACTTCCACAATGTGTTCAAACCATTCACTTTATTGACAAAATGTTTTGCACATGAAATTTACAGCTATAATCCATAATGGAATGTTTTATTGGGCACCTGAGATCTGATGTATAATTATAGCAAAGTGGGCACCTTTATATGCAAATGTTGCATCTCTGATGTCGGTAGAAAAGTTAGCCCATTTTTTACTCCTATGTACAATACAAATATTGCTTTAATCAATTACTTTGAAAAACAATGAATGAGATTAATTTCTAAAGAAATAAACAACAAACTTTGCAGGCCTTGCCCCTGTCTGGTGCACAGTTTACAAACTAACCAGTCTGGATTATAACAATCAAAGATGTGTTTTTCCTCATTAATAATAAAAAGCAATAATTACCTGTAGAATATAAGGAACACGAGCTTCGTGTGGTTGAAATGACTTGTTCAATATAGCTCCATTCTGAAGAAGATCAACAAGTCTGAAAAAAAATGAAAAATTTTGATGTTGTTTTATGTTACAACAACATGAAAAATATATCTCACTTGGGAATAATTCTTGGATTGTACAACTCCATCTTAATAAACTCTTCTTCGTTCTCATGATAACCATAAAATGGTCTAAAAAATATAATCATTTTGGGTGAATAATATTGAAACGTTATTTGGTGGAATATACAAGATTTTCCATTGTGATGTAAAGAAGAGAGTAAAAAGGATTTAATAATAGTAAGCTTTGTCAACATGAGGCGAAAACAAGGAAAATAACTTACATTTTCTTAACAATTTCAGTTTTATGAACATATTTCATAGAAGATGATGTTCTACCAAACGCAACTTGAACAGCAAAGTCTACACTTGTCGTAAATTGTTTCAGATATTTATCTGTGGGTTTAGTTCCATCGTAAGGTATGTATAAGTAAGGAAATACTTGATGAATATGAACACAAGTCTTCTGTCCACCAGGAGTTGAGCCAAATATCCTCAAAACTGGAACACGGTTAACATTCGCCTCGCGAAATTTAGAAAAAAATATCTAAGCCATCTATAGGTTTTGCCACATAAAATCAGCATCTAAAATCCTAACAGAAAAAATTCTGTTGTTCCAAGTAAGAAAATATATCGTCAATTAAAATTTTTGAAAGACGAAAGACAAGAGTTGAATACGCCATATTTATTTTGGATTATAGATTAGCCAAACAAAGATTTTAAAAGCAAACCATAAACCAAATCATCGTAATCACCTTTTTGGGATTAGATGGGATAAAGGCCTCCCTCTAACCTCTAAGGAAACAATGTCCTCAAACAAATGCTGCAATTAAAAGTCGGGGAGCTTACCAAGCTAAAGCATGTAGGCCCACAATCTGAACGGCCCAATTTTCGTAGTTATTGTAAAGAAAAATCCGACATTATAAGTAATAAAATTATGCTTTTGGTTAAAATCCATTTAAAGATTTTATTTATTGACATGTCACCAAGAAAGATCAATTTATCATCACAATATCACGACATCCTCACAATTTTGACAGAAGCACTGCTATTTAAGACACTAAATTTACCTCAGTAATGCTGTAATTACTTTGAAAGTCGTCCTTACTAAACTAGGTGAAATTTTCTGACAAAGAAATTATAAAATTAAATCCAAGGATTTTAGCAATAGCCTTGTTTAAGTAAACAATAAAAATAATGGTTTTCCTGTCGTAAATAACTTTTAGAATTATGGAAAATCACACTTCAGAAACACTGGTAATCGTTATTGACGAACTCCGGATTTAGAAATTTTGGGCATGACTTTATAGACCTCGCTAGAAAGGCTCACGCGTTCGGCGTTAGAAAATATGCCCCAGAAGTTCATGTCTTTCTTCATGTCTAACTACGACACTGCATGTAAAGGATTTCCGCTTTCTTCGAGCAAAATAGTGTCCGCATCCTGATGTTTTTGGTCCCGTACACCCATGTCAATACTGAAAATTAATAATAGTTAAATGTGTACAACATTTATGTGTTGATTGAGTTGAACTGAAATTGAATTTGCAAGAAAATTTTAAATCATTCCCAGTAGTGTATATTTCAATTATAGCAAAATATAAAATTTGCTCATCTCATTTCATCGTCTCGCTGTTATGAACAGAATTCAATATTTTACAATAAAACAGCAGCTGATTGAAATCAAGCATTTATTGAACATTCCAATTTCTTTATTATCAAGAAAAAGCAAACACATCATGTAGATGGTTGCGTCTTCTTTAATCTTTCTAAATTTGTTAAGGTATGTTGATTATAAAGTTCACCTTTCATAGTGCCATTGTTTGTTCTTATGTTTAGAATTTCGTTGTATTCGGCATAAAAAAAACTGAATGTCATTTTCGTGGTGGAATTCGCACTTCAAATGTTTTATACTGATTCGTCTGTTGATTTTAGTGGAATTTTCCCAATAACACATTGGATAATTTATCATTTCAAAATACCGACATTTCTTACATTATCCCCAACAATTAATTTCACTAGTCTTTTCATATATCATTGGTACGGCAAGGCTAGAAAATCAACAAGATGAATCAAAGTTATGACACGTCACAGAATTTCAGTTATGCATATCATTATGTGCAAAAATTTTAATTTTATTTAACATGGCATTTATAAAGAAGAAATTTTTTCCACATTCATAAATTCATCTATCGATTTATCTTATTCCTAACTCAGATGATGACATAAATACATTTGGCCACTTTTTCACGTGATAGTACACGTGATTTTTTTCTGGCTTATAATTGTTAAACTTGTTGTAAGATAGACTATTTAAAATATTTGTTTGTGTCCAAAGTTCACAAAATGACAAAAATTTGCATGATGAACTGTCAAGTCCAAAAGCTATCAATTTTAAGGTATCTCTAACTACTGAGATGTGACAAAATTAATCAAAATTAGAGACTTCCAGATTAATTACTCTGAAATTCAATTTTTAAATAAAGACTGCCCTAAAATCTTGATCCCCCCAACTTTTACTTGCTTCCCTCGCCCCTAATTAGATTATTTGTTTATCCGGATCAAAAGTTTACAAAATGACAAAACTTCATTGACCACGTTTCAAAGTTGGAACGCTGACAATTTAAGACAAGCTCTGTTTATTGATTTTCTTAACTTCCTAAATTATAAATCTTTCATTTTTGAGCTATCTTACTTTTTAAAGGCTGGCTGCCCCATCTTCCATTATGATTAATTCAGTTAGGTTGCATGTAATCCAGGATGTTCAATAATTGAAATAAATAATAGTAAACTGTGAAAGCTTATTGGCATAAAGATTCCAAACAAACTTTTTTGTGTTTACTTCAGTAATAGCTAAAATAAGAAATTTGCATTTCATATTCTATTGGGTATGACCAGAGTTCAATATTTTACAATAAAAACAGCAGGTGATTAAAATCAAGCATTTATTTAACATTCCAATTTCTTTATTATCAAGCAAAGCAAACACATCACATAGTTGGGTGCGTCGTCTTTAATCTTTCTGAATTTGCGAAGGTATGTTGATTTTAAAGTTTACTCGCTTTATGTAATGGTGTATTTTAACCTTCTGATTTAATGTTTTGTGTACATGTATCAATTTTTTTCCTTTTGATGTCACGAACATTGTAGTTAAATATAACTTATAAATTAGTGCCACGTATGTTTTATATGGATAAATTTTCTTCATTTTGGTGGGATTTTCAAACACAGATAAATTTTTGATGCATTACACGTAGAAAATACAACTTTTCTCACATCAATACCAATTTACTCTAATCTTCTATTTCAAATTATATCAATACAGCAAAGTTTATCAAATTAATGTGTTGAGTGAAAATAAGGACACGTCAAAGAATGTTAGATGTGCATGTCATTATGTGCAATAACTTTATTTTGCTTTTTCTAACATGGCTTTTATCATAACGTGTACAACATTTTATACAGTATAGAACTAGAATATTCACATTGAAAGAGAGTAAGAAGTTTATCATCTAAATGTTTACATTTCGCAAACTTTGCGTTAGATATCTATGGAACAATCATTTGCTACAAATTTGCATGATCACAATTTTTGTGTTGTTTCTGTATCTTTGTTGAAAGGCATTTTTGATATTTGTAACATTTGTTGATATTGATTGACTTTTTTAGACAATTACAAATAAATTTGAGATAATTTAACGTTGGAAAACACTGAATTTTCCAGCATCATCGCTAGCAATACGATGTAATTACTCAAATATTCCGATGGTTCATTTCAAATATTATTCATACAACAGGTCTGAAAGTTCAACAGGGTGTGTCAAAAATAATGACACGTTACAGAATTTCAGTTATACATATCGTAAATGCGAAATGATTTTAATTTTATCTAACATGGCTTTTATCAAGAAGAAATTTGTTCTTCATTCACAAAGTCATCTATCTATTTATCTTATTCATAACACAGATGATGACATAAAAACGTTTTGCTAGGTATGTCTTTAGAAAGTGCGCCTACTTAGAGTGAAAAGCTCACTTTTCAGGTGATAGTACACGTGAATTTCTCAGGTCTACAATTGTTAAACTTGTAGTAAGATAGACTATTTAAAATATTTTTGCGTCCAAAATTCACAAAATGACAAAACTTTGCATTATTAACTGTCGAGTCCAAACGCTATCAAGATGCTTTTAAAGCATCTCGGATTACTGAGATGTGACAAAATTAGTCAAAACTAGAGACTTCGAGATTAATTACTCTAAATTCAATTTTTAAATAAAGACTGCACCTAAAAAGTTGAGCCCCCAACTTTTACTTGCTTCCCTCGCCCGTAATTAGATTATTTGTTTATCCGGATCAAAAGTTTACAAAATGGCAAAACTTCATTGACCACGTTTCAAAGTTGGAACGCTGACAATTTAAGAGAAGCTTTGTTTATCGATTTTCTTAACTTCCTAAATTATAAATCTTTAATTTTTGAGCTATCTTACTTGTAAAAGCCCGGCTTCCCCGTCTTCTTTTATGATTATTTCAGTTAGTTTGCATGTAAATAATAGTAAACTGTGAAAGGTTTATTGGCATAAAGATTCCAAACAAAATTTTTTTGTGTTTACTTCAGTAATAGCTAAAATAAGAAATTTGCATTTCATATTCTATTGGGTATGACCAGAATTCAATATTTTACAATAAAAACAGCAGGTGATTAAAATCAACCATTTATTTAACATTCCGATTTCTTTCTTATATAACAAAGCAAACACATCATATAGTTGGGTGCGTCGTTTTTAATCTTTTTGAATTTGCGAAGGTATGTTGATTTTAAAGTTTACTCGCTTTATGTAATGGTGTATTTTAACGTTCTGATTTAATGTTTTGTGTACATGTATCAATTTTTTGTTTTGATGTCACGAATATTGTAGTTAAGTATAACTTATAAATTACTTCCGCGCTACGTATGTTTTATATGGATAACATTTCTTGAGTTTTGTGGGATTTTCAACCACAGATAACTTTAGAATGATTTACACTGTGAAACTACCGAACTTTTTCCACATTAATACCAATTAAACAAGATATATTTACAGCATTAGTGTTTAGTGCAAATGTTATCGATGTATTTTTGCTTTATATAACTTTGGAATGATCAATTGTTAAAGATTTTCATGATAATTTTATGTGCACACTGCATAGAAATTTAAATTCAACCGAAGATGAATTTCATTCAACAACAATAGTTAATCACTCTGCTGTATTTTTCGGAAACAAATAATACAGTTATTCAAATTGAATAATAACTATCGCTGTTATCTGTTTAAATAACACGTCGACGCTTGCTGGTAAAAGAGTAGAATTAAAGCTAACAACTTGCACTCCTTATGTCTACAAAATAGATTAATCCTAACACGGTTTTTTTATGCACATGAAAATTATTTGACTTGGACGAGTTTGAACTCGCACCGACAGGATACTAGTCCGCCGCACTACCTGTTGAGCTACCAAGCCCACAGGGATTGGAGACGAGTCAAATCTCTTTCAAA